TTAGAGCCGCGTGTGATTGCATAATCCGCATGTAAATAAGCGGCCGTTCGCACGTGAAAGAACGCGAGAGTTTGTCACCTGTCTCGCGGGCGAGTTGGTGCGAAAAAGTAGCGCGAAAATATGTATACATATATATGTATATTACAAATATTGCAATTGTGACTTTTCAGGAGCAGCGCTATGGCGAGCATGCAGCTTCGCAACTGCAACGGCAACGCGATGGCAGTGGCGACGGCGAACGGTGCACACGCGAATGCATATACATATATCTTTGCCTCGTCGTTGCGCTCGGGAATGCGGTCTATAGCGCGTAGGATCGAGAGCGGACCAACAAGAGGTAGGGAGGGACCAGAAGCGAGCGAAGGAGAGAGAGAGAAAGAGAGAAGATACGTACGAGCGAGAACGGGACAAGAGGGAAACGAGAAGGAGATACGAAGAGGAGGTTGAGAGGGACAAGAAGAGGGAGCGAGAGATTATAAGGGAGAGGGAAAGGACGAAGGGAGAAGAGACAAGAAGAGCAGCCGGGTAGGAGAGGAGAGATAGAAGAGAAGAATCATTGATGGAGAGAGGGTAAAGGGAGAAGGAGTGCGCGCACGGCAGTCGTAAACGGCAACAATTGCTGCGGGCGTTGCCACTCGAAAGCCCGAGTGCCTAATGCCAGATGTCAGACGGTGGTTAGAGTCATTACGGTCATCACTTCGTACCGCGATATACTATATACCGGCGTCCAAAAGAGGGAGGGAGAGAGACGGAAAGAGATGCATCATCCCCCTGAAAGATACGACGTCGCTCGCGCGACTCTGCATCGACTCGCAAACTCGCAATCTCGCGGTTCTTCGACAGTGGAAAGTGTAACGACGATCGTTCGCGTCTGCTCGAGAAGGACTCGAAGTAGAGCACGCCTGTTGGCTGCATTTTTCTCGAGTCCCTCGTTCTTTTCGAGCTTCGTTGTTAGAGACGGACAAAAGCGCCCTGGCTTAATGATCCTCCGTCGTCGGTTAGGACGGATATGGGCGCGAGGATGAATTGGAAGAGAGTATTCCCGACGTATATGTATATGCACCGTGTTCCGTTATTCCTCGTGCGGGAACATGCGCGGATATTTCGTTAGATTCTACGAGTGGTTGAAGATTGTGTTTGCTAACATAACGCGAGAGATTGCTATTCCGAAGCAAATTAATTATGTCACAATTTAATAGCTTATCATCTGAAAGGAATGTCAGTATGCATGCTATTCGTTTGGTTTTTGTTTTATATTCGTCAATATCATCGCGATTCGATATTTATCGCTATCGAATCAAACGTCCGCACGTTTAAACCGGAGACGAGAGCAGAGACAGTGGTTTCTCTGAGGAATCGAGCGCGAGGATTCGACTCGCGCGAGCCAACTTCCAAAACCCGTTTCAGCGGAGCCGCCGTAGATCTGGTCTCGGTTCGCGAGATAGAAAGAGTAACGTGCGAGCGAGATAGAGATAGAGAGAGAGAGAGAGAGAGAAAGCGACAGACAGAGGAAGAGAAAAAGAGAGACGCATACGAAGGGGATGGGGCAGGAGGGCCCGAAAGACGAAGGACCAAAGGGGTGGAGCTGCATCGAGAGGGATGGACCGAAGAGGGCGTCCGGCCGAAAGGGGCCCGAACGAAAAATTGTAATTATTATAATTACAGTCGGTTGTGTATGAGCGCGCGCGCGGACAATTATAAATTATCATTGAACTAGGCAGCGAAACGTCAATAAAATATATATATCGTACCGGGGACAGCCATTTAACATCGGGTCGCGGATATACGTCTGCCCCCGCCGGATGCTGCGAAATGCTGCCTGCGTCGTCGGTCGGCCGATTGAAAAATGCACTCGGCTTATTCCATCCGTGCAATTTCCATCGGCATTCGGCGGCGTGTAGTCGCGTCGCACGCGGATGACAATCCAACGGGACAAAAAAGGGTCGTGCGCGCGCGAGAGGAAGAAAAGGACGAAGATTTCTTCTCTTCCTTTATTTTGCGCCCCTTCCGTCGTCTCTTCCCCTCCCAGGATCTACGGTCCACATGAATCGATGTTGCGTATGAATGACACGGACGCTTTTGCAAGTCGTCTCGCGGTACGAATATATATGTATATATCTCGGTCAGAAAGTGCGTTAAGGTCTGTTAAATTGGCATCCCAAAATGCGAATTTTTACAAAATTGATATAGCATTCGACTGTCCAAAATTGTTTCTTCTCCAATTTGCAAAAAATTACAAATCAAAAAGGAATCAATTTTATCGTAAGCACATTCTGCATTTGTCCACATTTGAGCAAAAGTAATCATCTTTTGTGCAGCTTGCAAATAAAAATTAAAAATAAATTTTAAAAAATCAACAATCAATTTTATTATAACTGAAAGTGCGATTATATTTAAAAATTATAAACGGGGGGCATCTAGGGGTGCTAATGATGAAATTTATTCAAATTTCTTTTTTATTTTTAATTTTTTTTTTTTTGCATGAGAACGGAAACGATTATCTATGGACAATTGTGGACAATCAAATGCCATACATAAATTTGATAAAAATTCGCATTTTGAAGTGCCAATTTGGCAGCCCTAGCGCGTTAAGCGTATGCAGCGAGAAGCGTTTTTATCGTGCGCGTTTCGTCAAGGCGTAAAGGAAGCGCGTGACCGTGTCAGGGCGATTTAACGGTCGGCGCGATACCGTCGACGATCGGCTCGCTGATTACCGTCGAATTAGTCTCTTCGGCATTATCGGTGTATTACATCAGACTTTCACTTTCAAGAACTTTCAGCGGGGTTTAGATGCAGGAAGAAGAAGCAAAAGCGAGGAATTTAGCGCCGCTCGCTTCTCACCATCTCGATTTCTCGCCGGGCTCTATCTCGTCGCGATATAAGTAAGTGGTGTAACGTTACTTTCGACGATTATATACGTCAAACGTAACACGATCATTCGTAATGTCAGACGACAGCAGGTACACGCGTAATCTTCTTTAAGTGAAACGACGCGATATCTCAAATTTCAGAAAGAGAGAGACCTCTCCATCCCTAATATCTCTACTCTTCCGGGATTTACTCTTCAGTCCCCACCCTCATTCCAGCCTTTATTCCCGCTCGTCGTATCCCGTTCGAAACTTATACGTACGCAAATGCGCTCGCGCATTCACGGGGATGCAACCGGCTCATAAGCACCATCGGTGTGTCGGGACTAACTTGTTCGCGCTCTAACACCGCTCTAGGGGAAGAGCGTCTCGTCGTTGTATAGCGGCGGCGACGGCCCCGCTAAGGAAACGTCGGCGGGATTCCTCTCCGCGAGCAGCCACGTGGTCGATATAATACCGGAATACGGAGCGAGGCGAGACGAGAGAAGCGAAACGAGAGAAGGAAAGAGAGAGAGAGAGAGAAAGGAGTCTCGTCTTCTCCTCGCTCTCGGGTCGGCGTCGACGCTACGCCCCGGAGCGATTCATGTCGCCCCGTTATCCGTGTCCATACGTACGCAACACTTTTGCGTACAGTATACTTTCCTCATTCAGGTCGCCGCTCCTTCTTCTCTCTCTCTCTCCTCTCTCTCTCTCTCTTGTCCTCATCCTTCTTCCGATCGGAGTGAAAAACACGCGACCGCTATGCAAATGAGAGACTCGCGTTATTATTTCACCTGCGAATCGCGTAAGTAATCGCTTCTTTTCCGGAATAAAAAGACGATGATCGATAACGCGCACTCAGCCCTGGTGCGGCGGTACTAATTGAAACACGCCGAAGAAAACCTCTCGCGAGTATACCAATTACAGCTTTCCCCGTAACGTACGTGTCTGACGGCTCCACGACTGCCTTATGCGAGAGATGCGTTCGTGCCCTTTCGTGCCCGGCTTGGCCTTTAACGCGAATCTTTGCGAGTTTACGCGAAACGACGCGGCTTATGCAAGGATTAAACGCAAAGTATTCACCGTCAGGGTTTTTCGCGTCGAGACGCGACATTTAAGATATTAATTTGCGAGGGAACTCTCGTAAATCGTTTCTCGTAATCGACTCGCGATGACGGATCAATTAGGGACGCATAAAAGGCCTGGTGACGGATTTTCTTCGATTGTAAATGATTGTAAACATTAGCTGATTATCCGAGTATATATGTCAATTAAGCCTCGATTTCTCGCATATCGTGAGCGAAGGAAGAAAGCTTGTAACTTCTGTATATACATATATGCGTGCGAACAACGAATGCGTGATTGAACAAATTAAGATAGAGAGAAATCAACCTCATGCCTCCGAATCGAGTTTTCTTCGAATATAAATATCAATTACAGGCGTAGAAAGAAAGGGAAAGTGTGAAAGCCCACCCGACAGTACCACGCTTGTTAAGGGAGATGACAGCGTTACGTCGCCCGACGTCTTTACACCCGCGAACGCAAACGTTCAGACAAGTGTGGAAAATATTCCGCGCGTCATATAGATATCAAGCGGCATGACAAGCAATTCACAAAATTGCAACAGCCCGCGGACCTATTCCACAACTTTTTACGTTGCGACCCGGCTAACGAAACAATCGCCGTCAGCGTTACTACATACATGTATGTATGTATAAGAATAAGAATATCAATAATTTTAAATGTCTTTATAATTATTTTATAAATACCTACCATATAAATATCAAACAAATTACGAATATACTTTTACATCCTAACAAATGTACGAAATTTTTAAAGCCACAGATATGTATGTGTATGAGAGAGAGAGAGAGAGAGACTTGACGTATGAGTTGAATGCTCGTTAAGAGCACAGTATTAAAACACAATTGTATCGCGCGGCGGCGTGTGAAAAGCGTAACGTAAGCATATCGTTCACTCGAATAGTGTGCGAAACACTCCTCATCGTAGACTCACACATACATTCAGCCGTCACGCGACTTGACGTGACATTAGCGTTTTGACGTATCGACGAAGGATCTTCGCTTTCTCACATTTCCGCGGCGCGAGAGCAATCAACGCTTCGTTTCACGAATAGGTAAGCGCGCGCGAGAGCTAGAGAAGAAACTTGGATATTTTTGCACAATCTCCTACCTTGAGGAAGCAGCGTCCGACGGGCATGTCCTCCGGCACGGTGGCGTTGTAGAGAGGCTTCTCGAAGATGGGCTCGTTGTCGTTGTAATCGTGCACTGTCACTCGTACGGTCGCGCTGCTGCTCAAGGGCGGCCGTCCGGAATCGGTCGCGATCACCACGAGGACCGGCGCCGGGTCCACCTCGCATTCCACGTGCGTCACCGTGCTGATGAGGCCGGTGATCTCATCAATCGCGAACCACGACGTCGTGTTCAAAAGGGAGTAACGTACGGCCGAGTTGGCGCCCTCGTCGAGATCGGTCGCGGTCACTCGCAGCACCGACGTGCCAGGCTCGGACGTCTCCAGGAGATGGGCCTCGTATCTCTCCCGCACGAACTTGGGCGCGTTGTCGTTGACATCGGTGACGAGCAGTCGGAAGGTGCGCACGGCACGAAGGGGTGGCGTACCGGCGTCCGTCGCCTCCACTGATAGATCGTAAACGGGCTTCTCTTCGCGGTCCAGAGGACGTTCCACTACCACCAGATAGATGATATTGTCTCGCGTGGCCAGACCGAAATGACCCTCGCCCCCGGTTAGGGTAACCGTCACGTTCGAGTACTCGCTCTTGTTCCTGGAATCGGGATCGCGGACGGATATCCGGGCGACGAATTCGCCGGGTTGTGCGCTCTCGCTGATCTTCGGGGTCGCGTCGTCCGAAACGAAGATGACGGTGATGGCCGGCTGATTGTCGTTGACGTCGGTCACGCGTACAGATAGGAAGGCGCTGGCTTCCAGCGGCTGGGCACCGCGATCCCGGGCGACAATGACCAGTTCGTGACGTTCCTTAGACTCAAAGTCTAGGGGCTTGTTGACGTAACCATGCCGGTCTCCGGATCGATGCGGAACATCTCCTCGCGATCGGACTGTCGGCGATTGATGGAATACTCGATGCGGCCGTTGTCCCCGGCGTCGGCGTCGGTCGCGTTCACCGCCAGCACCGGCGTGCCGACGGTCGCGTTTTCCGGTACACACGCGTCGTAGCGAGTCTGATTGAAGATGGGCGGATTGTCGTTGACGTCCTGCACCGTCACGTTTACGTGCAAGCTCGATCGGAGCGGCGGCGTTCCGCCGTCGAGAGCCTCGATCACCAGGTGATAACGCGAACGCGCCTCCCGGTCCAGCGAGCCGGAATTCTGCAGATCCAGGTAGAGGACCCCGTCGCGGCCACGATGCTGCGATAGTCGGAAGACGTCGCCGTGATTTCCGGAGATGATCTCGTAGCGTTGCGTCGAGTACTGGTCGAGATCGGGATCCTTGGCAGGTGGCAGTGCCCGTTTGGCATCGCGAGGCGAATTCTCCGGAAACTCCACGTCCACGTGGTCCATGGGAAAAGTTGGCGCGTTGTCGTTCTCGTCGAGGACTTTCACGACGACCTGCACGTTCTGCTGCAACGCTATCAAGCTATACGACGGACGGGTCTCGCGGTCCAGCTGTACATTTGTCTTTATCTCCCCCGTTGCTTGATCGACGATCAGATCGGACTCCACCGATGAACCCGGTACCGACACTATCAGGTACGGTGGACTGTCGGCGTCGATAAAGCCCACCCTAGTACCCGGCCGTGCATTCTCGGAGACCTCCAGGTACTTTGTGATCTGGGGCAGCGCGCCCGGGGCGAGGGTCGCTCCCAGGACGAGGAACAGTAGCAGATGCCGCATCCTGGGGGTCTCCAACACCACGCCACGGCCGTCCTCCTCCTCCTCCTCACCCGTCTTCGTGATATTATCTCGATCTTTCCATTCCTACGCGGCCGCTAGTCTCGCGAGAGGCCGAGTGCGCGATGACGAATGAGAAACGTATCACTTGTCGCGTCTTCTGACGTCGCACAGCGTGACGACACCGAGTCTTCTCTTGGCTGTCCTTTTCCTTTCTCGCTCGTACGAAATTCCTCTCCCCGTCCGCGACAAACGAAGCTCACGGTGATTAGCACGGCGCTTTCCTTCCTTCACCGGCACCTTTTTATTATCACCTAACCTAACCCAACATATTTAGCACCAGCACCAACCAAGCACGAAATCACTGCTTTTATCCTCGGTTTCTCTCGACTGTAGCATCACTTACACCGACGCGGAGTATTATCTCTTTTTTCTCGCGGGAAAAACGTAGCTTCGCGTTCAGAAAACCGGCAATTGTCTCACTGCGTCTCACTCACGTCGACCTGTCGTGACCGCACGAGCCGTTTCCCGATGCAATTCGCGACATACCGTCGTGGAGATTTTCACGTTTCGTTCCTCTCTACCTTTCGAAATCTTCTCTCCTCGCTGCGCGATTTTCAGGATATCTCTTTTTTTTCTCCGCCAGCTATAAACACGTCGTATCTATCCTCGCTGTCACCGGGAATATCTCGACGGCGAGATATGGCACATTCCTCGCGTTAGATCCACGACGACCTGGTAATCGGACCGATCAGCACGACCGGTCGTGAACCCGGCGCGATAGTCTCGCGTCATACATGGTGTCCCGTCCCGTCGGACACGTCCCGTACATCTGTCCTTGGGACACACGTTTCCGTTCCTGAGCGTGTTCCTGCGTCGCAGACACCCGTTGGTCACGACGCGCCTAATTCGTTCCGCGATGTGCCGGGCCGGTCGTTGCCGTTGTCATTCTTCAACGTGCAACGTCCGCTTCTTCTGCGTTACGAATAAGATCTTGGACGGAGTTATTTCACCTGGTGAGAGAGAGATGAGAAAATACTCAATTATATATAAGTCGCGACGATCACGAATTTATTCCGAATGCCTTCCGAGAAATTCACAAACTCCGAACTGTCAATGTTATACACACCGATGGAATACCGATGGAACAATTTTCATCCGATTTCGCATACACGTAAACGCGATACACACTTTGAATTCACTCGAGATTCGCTCGCGAATCGCTATTCTCTCCGCGGCACTTCTGGGTCGCGGTATCTTGTCCGTTCGATATCTTCCACGATAGGCCGAGGCCTCGCGAGATCGGAGCACTTTTGGTACCGCGCGCCGGAGACTTTAACGCGCGTAAGTAGTTTCAGGTCGAAATATATATACGACGAATGGAAGGAACCGGTCCTAACTTTCGCGTATACCGGCGATATTCGTATGCGCGACTCTCCGCAATCGGAGAACGAGTCAGAGCAAAGTTCCCTTGGAAAAGCACGACACGACGAGGTGTTTGTCGCGTACTCGAGCCCAACGTCCGTTCCGCGCGGCTTCGAGGTTAGGCATGCACTGACATGGCGGCACCTGCGAGGTCTACCCTTCCCCTGACTCAGGGGACTCAGGGGCCCTGAGTCGGGGGCCCTGACTCGACGGGCTCGCGCAGATCGGGGGAGGGAGGAAGGGGTTCGCGAAGCTGGACCCAACCGGCGGCCATCTTGGAGAGGGGATCGGCGATGCTGTTCGCAAGCAACCGGGCCCGGCATTCAACGCGCTCCTCGGCAGCGAGCAGCTAGACCATACCAAACTCTCTTACCTGCCTTGCTTGCCCGCATGCCGACTCGCTCGCACTCTCTCTTCCCCCTTCCTCTTCAGCTTCTCTCTCTCTCCACCGTCCCATCTACCTACCTGAGCGCTCGGTATGCGAGAAACCGACTTACCGTCGGCGCTCATTCCGCGTCGGGCCTTACGTATAGAGCCTCCTATGTATACGCGTCTCCCACGTGTGCCAAAGGTCCTGGAATTTCGTGACGCGACAAGAAAAACGGCCACGGGAACGTGCCGTCTCCTAGAAACGCGCGCGTTCACACGAAAATGGGCTTTACGAGAAAGAGATTTTCGGAGCAAAGGGACCTGTCAATGTCTCGTGCGAATTGACTAATGACGAGGATAGGTTCTGGAATTTTTGCAACGTGACCAGGAAAATATCAAGAGCAGCTCTAGGCATCGTGTCCCATGAATTGTCTGATTTATGGTCGTACTAATTGTAAGATAAATCGCACAAATGCTGGAATTTCATGACATGACAAGAGAAGGAACTATGGGAATGTGTGCCATCTCTTATTGTTAGACACGCAAATCGGATTTACGAAAATACCTTTCAAATGTGACATATAAATCATCTAATGACTATATTGGAGAAATCTAAAATTAAATCAAATTAATTCTAAAATATCCTCTTGAAATATTACAGATGCCTTCTTGATGATTCAAATTTCGGATCAACTTACGCCAGATTTTTATCATAAATTTACATCTTTACGATATTCTACATGACGTTTATCTCGTATTGTAATAGATTAGAGATCGCTAAATATATCTCCAACATATTAATTATTAATTTTGATGTTCTGTTGCGAAAGCAATCTTTTGATATTAATCATAATAGATGTATAAAATATCAAACAACATTTCAAACTCACCTACATCAACCGCGAATATATAATAACTGTATACAGTGTACAGTTGAGTAAATAATTTATATGGTAGAGGGATCAAATAGACAGAACTTTAAATAGAAAGGAAATCAAAATATTCATGTAAGATATGTTACAAATAAAAAAATAAATAGTGGCTCTTTTATCACTTAATATATATAGATGCACATATTATTAAAATTAAATAATGAAAATGTTTGCCAAATAACATCGAATGTTATATTTTTAACACAACCGTATGATTTTATTAAAAAAAATCAGTATATTAATTAAATATAAATTCAAGATATCATTAATATATAGAGACTGCTGTTGTTTCCTCGATTGCAGAGAATCTCGTTGAGATACTTGGCGAGCAAAGCGATCAAAAGTTAACGAATGTTTACGGCGACAATTAGACGAGGTAATGAACATCGATCGGCAATTATCGTAGAACCGTCGCGAATCGAAACTCGTCGCAACCGGTCATTACGACGATTCGCTAATCTACACGTTCCGTTAAGAGTCGCCGTCGAGGATCACGTTATAGGGGGAAGTGTAACTGTGCGTACGACGCGATTTGTCATTTCCTGAATTTCTCGATAATTAGTAGATCGGCGCAAAATCGGCGGGAAACGAAAGAAAGATCCATCAGTTCCGACGGCGACGACGTCGGCGGCAGCCGGTCGGCCGCCGAGCAGCGACGCGACGTGTCCCGGGGGTCGAGGACCCCTATCTCTCTCTCCCTCTCTCGTCTCTCTACCTGACTCTACGAGTAGGCAGATAAATCCGCCGCCTACTACTACTCGCGGCGGACAATACGTTCGGGACGGTGCATCATCGTCCGTATTGTTTGCTCGGTCAACCGCTCGGCTTTTCTTGCAGGTGCTGGAAGCAGAGCGAGCGCGCGCACACCATCACGTAAGATGACGACGCGCATATAATATCATAGTGACACGCGAATATTTTCCCGGAAATTAAGTCGCTTGTGTGCGCGGAAGTCACTTACCCGCGTGGATTTCGCGCGCGTAGAAATAATGCGCTATTAGCGCGCGCTCTTAATTCCGCGAAGACAACGACTCGAATTGACAGGGTAGGTATATAGTTAGCTTTAATGACGTGGGAATACGCGGATCGGGTTTTCGAATCGTTCGCCAATTTCGTTTCGCGGACAGATACGAGGCGAGAGAAAGAGAGATCCAGGAGGAGAGAACTCCTTCTCGGTAAGTCGTCAGCGCGCCTACATATATCCAGGGGATAGTGGCTCGACATCGACAGACGGTCGGCAACAAAAACACTTCTTTGTAATAATAATGACTTCCATCTGCGGCCAATGTGTATCATTTTTGGCATGATAGAAAGAAATGTGTTGCGTGTTGTCACGCTTGCCTGCGTCCCTACGGCATCGGGACGAGAGAAATTGGCGCACCTGCGAATCTCTACGTCGAGAGGAAAGCAAAGAGGTGTTCGGTACCGCCGAACGATTCTTCATCGTACGACTGTTCTCGGAACGAGAAGAGAACTTCCTCCCTCTCTCCCAATCTACCTCTTACTCTCCTCTACTTATTACCTTACCTCTCCTAATTCTCGTCGTTCTCTTTCGGCTCGTTCGTCTTCGTTCTCACCCAATCTCTTCTCTTTTCTTCATCTCTTCTTCTTCCTCTAAGGTCGAGCCCACGATGAAAATGCCACCGTCACCGTCATTCCCCTCTTTTAGCGACGACGCACATTTCCACGAAATCGTTCCAGCGTACACCAATTTCGGCGCGACGTGGTGGCACAGTCGCTAGAAGAAAATTACAGAGTTCAGGGATAAAAGGTGGTAACACGGGGGCAGAGGGCGAGGACGCAAAGAGGAGGAAGGAACCGAAGTGGTCCGTGGATATAAGGGAAGAACTACGGTGCGATAATCTCAGATCAAAGAAAGGAAAGAGGACCGAGAGAGCTCTCGTCATTAAGCGAAATGATTGCCGGTCGCGGGGACCACCTACACCTGCAAAGAGGCGCCCCAAGGACGGGGGCGCCCCAAGGATGCTGGACCCTAGCCAAGCCGCGCTCTTTTACAAATATATATACAAATGGAACCCCGCGGTTTTGTCGACCCACTTCCGGCGGAGCCAATCAGCAGGCGCCGGCCGCCCGTAGAAAATGCTACGAATAAGTATTTTCGAAGATTAAAAACGAGCTATGTCGTCGTCACGTCGTGTTGTCATCGAAAGATGTTATCGAATAGATGTATCAGTAAAGAATTACACAGAGAGAATTTTCTCTTAGAATTTACCCTGAAATCATATGGTAATCGTGGGCCAATATGATATTTATAACAGGAAGAATTTTATAAGAATTTGTCCGATTAATATTTCCTACAATAAAAAATATTAATATCTACCACAATAAGATATAAAATATATTTGAAAAATTTACTATGTAATTGTACATTATTAATATTTTTATTGTAGTAAATATTAATCAGAGAAACTCTTATCAAATTCTTCCAATATCATGATTTTCAGGGTAAATTCTAAGAGAAAATTCTCTCCGTGTAATTGAGTAATTTAATCTTTGTAATTTTGTACAATTAAAGTCACCTAGAGAGAAGAGAAAAAGAGAAACACACGCAAGAGAAAGAGATATTTTCAAATATAATTGAATTCTTTGCCATTTATTCTCATAGCGTGTGGGATTAAGATTATTTCTAAAACCCAAGAAATCAAATTATGCAAAGTTACAGGAAAGAACACGAGTATTTAGCGAGCGTAGGCACGATGACGTTACCAGACCAAGTCAGTGCACGATCGAGTTACGAGTTTCGAATGTTCGTTCGTCGTAATCGTGACTACCTATAGTATTTCGCGATGCTCGCTCAAATTTCGTAAAAATGCTATTTGATGGCAAGACAACAGGAGCCGAAATGATATTAAATTTCATGTTATATCGATACCGCGGGATAATGTGCTATATCTTTTTCTTTTACTCGCAAAGAAATAGAAAAACTAAAAAATTTATTCGTTAAATATATTTTCAACCTTTAATTTTATTACGTCTTTAAATAAAAATTGTTTAATATCAATTTTCGTTCGATCTATATTGTTGTTCTCTGAAAAATGTTCTGACAAATGTTCTACAAGAAAATGGTCGCATATATACAGATAAATTTATAAAATCCAATACCATAAATCCATAAATCCCAGGAGAAAAAAATTCTATCCGTGTATATTCCTATAATGCAGTAAAGAGCGTTGAATTATTTTATTTTATAAAGAGAGGAAAAGCATTCGCACAACGTTGCAAGTACAATTTTTGCAAAGGGTTGCCTACACTTATAGGCAACCCTTTCTATACTTTGCCCTGAAAAGAGTTAACAACCGTGGTAATGCGGCGGAAAGCGTGCGCGAGCAAATACAAAAGAGAGAGAAATATAGAAGTCGGGAATATTTTCTCACGACGATCTCACGATTCACGCGATGCGCGGTACAAACGCGGACAATGTCGCAAAACGGTGGCGTAAAATAGTAGCACCGAGAGAATAAAGAGAGAGGAGACGAATACGCGGCGGAAAAAGAAAGGAGCAACGAAGGGAGAGGATTTGTCGAGCCCGCGTTGGTTGTACGAAGAGGCGCCGAAAATTGGATACTGGTGGGGGTGATGGAGACCAGCCGCATAATGACAGGGTGCCTCGCGCCAAGGCCCCGCTAACGAACCGGCCCGGAGAACCCAAAGGGTCCAGGCTAGGACATGACACTGTATTATTTTACCATTTCGGGGGTCGGGGGCATCATCAGAAATCATCGCCGAATCCATATAATCAGTAGACGGTTACACGCAGCCATGATTTTTAAGAGCTGCACAGGAGAGGATGGGAAAAGGAGGGTGACGCAGGGAGAGGAGCGAAGGAAGTAGACACCTAATAAGGCGAATGGTCGCAGGTGCCTTCTACTTGTCCTCGACATCCTTTCAAAGGATTTCGCGAATTTCTGCTCTCTGTCTCGACACGATTCTCCGATATGAACTTATTAGACTCATCGGAACTGCTAATGACATAAACGCGATAAAAAGCAAGTAAGCGCTACTTATTCTCTGTCCGTCCTGCGATTTTTTTGTTTACGGTCAATCCATCTTGTACGATGGAGGTGGATCTTAAAACATCTCGATGAGATTGAAAATGCACGATAAGAATGATTTTAGGGCGCGATGATGGAAGGGCAAAATTGCGCGCGAAAAAAAAAGCAATAAAAGAACTTCGGAAGTCGCGCGCGATCTCTGGAAATTAACAAGATAGAGATTTCGAGCACTTCGCTAAAATGAATACTTTTCAACTTTTTTCGCATCTCTCTTTTTGCAAAAAACGCTCCGTAATGAAAGATAAAGTGCTTTAAGAGCTTATGTAATTGCAAAAATGTACAGCATCAATTTTATAGTTTTTGCTTCTTTCCTGTACACAGAAAGAATTTTCTCTTAGAATTTACCCTGAAAATCATGGTAATCGTAATACAATATAATATTGGAAAATTTGTATAAAAGTTTCTTTGATTAATATTTGCCACGATAAAAAATATTAATATGTACACAGTCAAATTAATTGAACATATTCGATATTATACTTAGATATTAATATTTTTTATTTGTGTAAAAATATTAATCAGAAAAACTCTTGTAAAATTCTACCAATATCTATTGTTCCATGATTCATGATTTTTAGGATAAATTTTAAGAGAATATTCTCTCTGTGTATATAATTAACAAAAAGTATAAACGCGTACCGAAAAAGTACATTAAAAAAGAAACAGAAGATTTAATAAAGTGCTTATTCACTATTCGTGAATAATCACCGTACAATAATTACCGTACAACGCAAAAGTATTAGAATTATTATATAAATACGTATATATTTATAAAAGTTGATATTTCAACTATTCTTTAAATAGCATGTGTTATATTCGTTATTAATTCCTGAATTAATTGAGATATTTATAGCAATTTATGAAAGTTCCGTAATGATCCTCATCGATATAAATTGAAGGGTGAAAAGTAAATTGAATGTACGAGTCACGGATATTATATTTCAGACTACAGTCAGGAACGAAGCAGAGTGAAGTGCAATACGCAAGCACACCGTGAAAGTCGATCGATAAAGATCTAAATGAAAGTTGTAGAGGGAATATAAAACGACTCTCCCAAGTGCAGCCACTTTGCGTAGGACCGACCGGTTTATCGGGAAAAGAGAAGAAGGACATTTTGCATGTTACGTGTTCTACACTGATTGGAAACTTGCCGTCTATAAGTCATAGCTTGTCAAACAAAAAAAAATAATATTGCAGAAGCTGAACCAATCATATTTACCGTGCAGACGTGTATCGATATAATGATGACGTTTATAGTCGCCATGAAATAACGTAAACTGATAATTGTCCATTTTATTCGATAATTCGTCCTTACATCTTCAAGTCTATATTAAGTCTCAATTAGAAAGCATTTTTCGTCCTATCTTGGATAAACAATGTAGACAATCTTAACTTTCTTCACATTTACATTTATCTTCGGAGAAAAAAGATAGAAAAAAGCACTCGCGCGGATAAAATAAATTAGATTCGAAAGAAAAACCTCACAAGCTGTCATTTATTCCGTGGGAGTATGATAGAAAGATGAAAATTCGATCCGACACTAAAAAAGGTATCGGCGCACCGCGACACGCGTTATTTATAATTAGGTCTTTTCCTGACGGAGGTAGGTATCGTTGTCTCGGAAAAAAATTCAGCAAGGGCATTCAAGATATCATAAAGTATAAGATGCTAGTAATTTTTACATTTTTTAATTTTTTAATTGCTGAAACTACAATCGAAATACTATCATTTTTTGTATTAAAAAATTAATTTTTAAAAAATCGTGCCAGGTTCACATGAAGCTAGATCGATATCGACCTTAAAGCTAAACTTCTCAAAAAGACTGCGCAAGCTATTTCAGATATCTTAAAGTTGAGTGCTAATCATAATTTTTATTTTTTTTATTTTTACATTAATTATAAACGAAATACTATCTTTTTCCATATTAAAAAATTAATTTTTTAAAAGTCAAGTGTCCGATTCACAAAACTGAATGCGCGACATTTCCAAGTTCGAATATATCTTTATAAGTCGATCTTAAATTCAATGGCATAATCTTTCTTAGAATCGTTTGTAGATATATATGTTTGTAGTTATTTTCATTTTGTTTGTAGTTGCACAGTGTAGAAATTACAAACGTTTTAAAAAATTGTAAAAAGTAATTAAAAAATTTTAAGATCGACATCGATTTATCTCCGTTTAAAGACATACTCAAACTTGGAAATGTCGCGCATTCAGTTACATGAATCGGGCACCTGACTTTCAAAAAATTAATTTCTAATACGGATAAAGATATAAAGATATTATTTCGTTTGTAGTCAATGTAAAAATAAAAAAATATTAAAATTATGACCTGCGCCTGACTTTAAGATATCTCAAATTCGCGCAGTCTTTCTTAGAATTTATAGATGTGTGTAGTTATTTCGTTTCGTAGTTGCACGGTTTAGAAATTGCAATCTTTTGAAAAAATTGTCAAAAGTAATTTTCGTCAATTTTATAGATTTTCTGAATCTGCTTTTTCCATCAATATATATTTCGACTGCGGTTGCTACAAACATCTATAAACGATTTTATAAAAAAAGACTGCGCAAATGATTTTGAGATATTTCAATGTCGAGTGCGAGTCATTTTCCTAATTTAAAAAAAATTTTTTAATTGATAAAACTACAAACAAAATTATTATCACTAAATAGCTACAAACAAGATGCTATCATTTTCCGTATTAAAAAATTAATTTTTAAAGTCATGTTTAAGTTCACATAGCTTATCCGCTGAGTAGGTTTATAGATAACGTATATATACTGATGATCCGAGTCGCGTCCTGATCTATCTCCGATATATTGCCGGAGCTATCTCTTGTTCCCCCAAATTATCCGGCAACGTGATGTCCCTCTTATCGAAACGTTCATTCACAGCTCGAGAGCCTTTCAATCACAACAGAATCTCTCTCAATAAATTTAAATCTTATGAGCTCTCTCGCGAAACATCGACTAAACCGCTATAGGTAAATTTAAGACTGTATAGCTAAATTTGAAATACATTAAGTACCTTGGACTTTCGTTGCAAAATCTCAATTTATATAATTATTGTTTTACATATTGCAGAATTCTGCAATACCACGTTCAATTAATAACAAAAGGGACTGCATAGAGGGAGTCTTTAGCCTTTCAATGTTTAATTTTTAATTTCTTTACCTCGCACGTTGTATCACGCAGGAGTTGCGGCCTCCTGGTTTCCTACAGGAAAAGGTACCAGGAATCCGGAGTAATGCCGAGACCGTAGAAAAAGAAGTCGAAAAGTGAGTCGAATTATCTATTTTATTATTTATTGATAAATCGAGAAAAATATACACCTAAGTATTGGTTGGATATCGTGTAAAGATAAACTCACTTTAGCATTTGCAAAATATTGTACTTTTGTGCGTAATTAAAATCCGATTTTTTTTTCTACTTTAGAGTGACAATTTTAATTTACAGATTCATGTTTTTCGTACAAAAATATTGTAAAGTTTCGGCAAAATCGGAGCTCTTTTTCAGTATTACCATAACTATAGCTTCGCGATAATTGGCGCGGATTATTAAATGGCTCGCGCGTAAATGTATAAAGTATGCATAAAATGTGCATTTCCTCGTATAAATATTATTTCGAAAATATGAGAACGGTTTACCTATTTTTTGCATATTATATATATATACGCATAAAATAAAGTTAACAGGTGCTAAAAACGTCTATCTTTACACTAGATCTATATATTTCACACCTTCGTATCTTGCGCGTTCATGCGTGTATGTAAATTATAAATGCAACACGTGTATCACGAAACAATAATTTTTTGTTTTCGAACTGCGATAGAATTATTTATTTATTTTATTATTATTTCTGATTCGAGTAATAATTATGTGAGTATAATTGTTGTCCCGTCGTTTTAGATGAGTAAGCTATTAATTGCTTTCCTCCCCCGACATATTTCATTATGATAGGTGTCATTTATAGCCGCGGTTACTGCGCGACTCAAGCGAGAGAAATAACTTGATATTGTGCTTCTGAGCACGATTGGCTCAGTCTTACACCTCTGCAAATTTAATATATGTTGCGTTCTCTGCGATTCAATTTTATGCAAATCGCTTATAATGTTCCTATTTCGAAAGAGAACTATCCATGTGCAAAGCTTTCATCCGAGTACGACTGTATTCTATTATAAAAGTAAAGTTCTGTTATTACGACTATTAGCCGACTATTAATTATCAAAAGATATGTTTTTGCTGAAATTCAATACACGAGTTTTATACCCTCAAAAATGTTTGTAACAAGGATAGAAAATATGGAAAAATAAATGTTATATTATAATTTCTCAGAAAAAATTTGATATATATATATATATATATATATATATATATATATATATTTGAGTTTTCTGATTTTATAATTTCTCTTTGTTACATACATTATGCAAAGACGTGTAGATGCTATTTGAATGCAGAAATATTAAGATGGCTCCATCTCTTGGTCATCTCATGTAATAACATAGGAACGCTACACTAATAAAATTTAATAAAATTTAATAAAATATAAAAGATAAAATCTAAGAAAATGGAATTTAGGAATATTTTTATTTATGCAAAAAATTATATTTTTTAAAAGTACGTTCAAAATACATTGGAAAATAACATTCTAGACTAGCTTAGTTATTCTAAGGTTTGAGAGGAATATTGGGCCAATATTGAGGAGTAAAGGCATCTTTATATTTGTTCGTTGCAGACTGTAAAGAAGTTTCTATTGCTAATATTTTGGAACTATCATTACCATATAACAAGTCTGCATCCTCTTTCCTTGCACGAACACTTTCAACACCATCAATGATGGAAATTTCTTCTCCAAGATCTTCCTTATGCACAGTCTTGTTAGATTTACGTTTTTGCTTCAATTGTCTTCTGTGTCTCTCACTCGTTTCAAAAAATTTTAACATATCTTCAGTCACATTAAGTTCAACATCTTCAATATCTGAATTGCATCCAGTATAGTTTTCTTCCTGTGCCTCTTCATCGTTATTTTCTTTAGAATAATGATTGTTTTTCTGAGTTACTGTATCAGGATAGGCATGATGCTGAACTAACGATCTTATTTTATTGCGCAGCCTTTCATTTTCATACTCAAGAGCAAGGCAGCGTGACCTCCACCAGGTTATGTTATGTCTGCAAACAGTAATTAAATTCAATAATTAAATCTTTTACTAAAAAAAGCTAGTTTCTATTGTCCACTTAAATTATAATTATTTTTCTCCAATGCAATCCATGAAATTTTTATTAATTTATCCATGAAAGAAAAAAGAAAAAAAGAGCAGAATATATTTATCTGTTCTATAAACCCACCTTTTTTGCCATTCCTGGGCTATTGCGTAATTTTTCCAAAAAGCATCAGCCTCCATCGTGCTCGTTCCTAATATTTCTGGCCTATCAAAAGTATTAATACGTTCTGGGAAGACACCCCAATGTTTGGTGGACTTAACCTCAACTTTGATTCGATCGTGCAATCGTCTTGTCCTCCTCAGATATCGCTTTTTCTTCCACTTTTTGCGTCGTTTTGTGGCGACAAATTCCATGCCAATAGATTATTTTTGACAAAAATCAATTGAATATTTACGTCAAAAACTCCATAGTTTACATTCTACACACGCCATGACATGTGTCGTGACTCGTGAAATGATGGATCAAATATCTAATTATCCTATTAATTTTTTATTTGTTTTTGAATAATAAAAATTTAGTACACATAAAACTTGTAAGAGCAAAGAGAGAGAATAGTCGGATATAAGATAGATTCTATTTAATATACTAATTTTGATTAGATTAGTATATCCTTATTTCAAAAAGTAAAACATTTATTTTTATATAAATGATAACTGCTTTTTTAATATACATCTTTCTTTGTATTATAATTTCTATATATATTATATATATTATTTGTATTATTTTATAGATAGAAAACACAAAAATGCTTGTTAAATAATTATAATTTCTGAATAATTAGTTTTATAATATGCAAAAAAAAAACAATGTAAGTTTTTTTTCTATAGATTTCAATTCTGAACAGAAAATAGATTTTTTAAATGACTACTATATAAAGATACCATAAATTGTCATATAGACACAACGCAAAATGAGAAAATTAAAAATATATGAAAGATTAAATAAGTGATTTTTATTAGAAATATACAGTTTAATGTTGTGAGGTTTTATACAAATCTAAAAAGAGGTTTTAACTAAAGTGAAAGTTATGCATACATAACACTTGTCAAGATCCAGAGATATTATATCTTCCTGCTTCTGAACTTGAAAGTTTCTGCACTTTACAGCCATTTACAGTGAGACAAAGTTTTTTTGCACTGAAATACCTATACATGTTTTGCACACACAAATACTGTAATATCTGTCTCTCTTTTCGTCCTTCTATACAATAAATATTATAAATATCTCAAAATTCAACACACTACTTAGTTATTTTTTGAGAATGTATCCATTACATTCATTTTCTATGTTTTAGAATTTCAAGCTTATAATTACAATCAGTCAATTATAATATTTAAAGAAAAAGAAAATATTCTATCAATTTAAAAAATCTGATCATTGTTTATATAAATATGCTATTATTTATGTATTTTCGAAAAATTCTGAAAGCATTGCTTATTTTTAATCTAATTTTCGTTGAAAACCACACATGGAAATATTGTCAATAATATTTTTGAAATAATATGTATAAGATCTCAGATAAGAACTTTAACAGATATTTGATTCTTCAAATGGAGAGACTTTCAATCAGTTTTCTATTAGTAATCATTATAAAGGTCCAGTCCTGACCTCACATATATGACATATTCAATCCACGTTCGAATGATACTTCATCGTCTCCTAATTTGACATTGGCGCTACCTGAACTATTTCTTCTCGAATTATTAACTCGAGCTCCATTTACTCGGCTATTATTAATTGTCTCATCATCGCTTCCATTCATTGATGTCGTCTTGTGTAATCGTTCCAATCCGATAATTTCACGAACATCATCAGGAATCTGATCTTCTATGGACATTAATTGATAGTAAATACCTTCTGCCTTAGAAATTGTCCATGGTAACTCAATATGAAGTGACAAATCATTTATATGCTGTAAACAACATTATACAATTTTTCAGAATTTGATAGAGATAAAACATTGGTTGTATGAAAAAGTTTTGGAAATTACCTTCAATATTTCTGTAAATCCATAATTATTTTCTATTAAAATATTTTTTTCTGTGTCCAAAATAGCTGCGCATATAAGCAAATGAAAGTTTTTGCAAGGTAAACCAGTCCATAGTATTTCCCATAATTTTAATATATCAATCGCACTAAATTCTCGTTTAAAAAGTACCAACAGCCATCGAAAGCAGAAGAACATATTGCCAGAATCATGTCTATTCAGGTAATATGCCAATTGTGGTTCTGTAGTGCATAATAAAGTATGCAATTGACATAATTGCGCTTTCATGCCTTTTTGATCCATCTCAAAGTTGGTGCTCTGTTTTAAAATAATAAAAATTGCACATACTTGCAAGCATTGTATTTTATACTATTATGCGAAGGATATCAAACTTACCACTTTATCCATGAATCCAACAAAGCACCAAAATGCATCAACTTCATTGTCCATTAAAAATAAAATAGGACTGAGCAGATCGCTCATACCCTGAACATATCCTAAATCAAAATTGTACATTACATAGGTCATGAGTATATCATATAATTGTTCTAAGTGAGGGTTATTATCTCCTGCATAATAAGCATGTGTTCGGTCTGTTCTATTTACGTCCTTTTCTGAAACAAGAGATTAAAAGGTATATAATCCTTATTTCAAAATGTAAAGACATTTTGTTTTTATATAAATGATAAAAGGATGATTGCTTTACCTATCAAACTTTTTCGTTCTCTATAGTCAGAAAATCGACTCTCTTGCGCGGATGTGAATGTACGCCATTGCAATTTCATTGTGAAATATTCATCAGTCTTTTTTCTCTTCAATTCTAATCTTTCATTGTGTGTCGATTTCCATGGATAATAATTCAATAAAAATTTCCATACTTCAAAACGCAATGATGGAACAATACCCTGATGAAAGAAATTATCACACATATAACTTATGTCACATACATTATATTTAAAATATCATCATTGAAAAAAATGTTAGATAGATACCCCTCGGAAGATGATTTCTTTGATAGCCTCTGGATCAATAATTCTTCCTTCTGAATCTTTACACTTTTCCCATTGTTCTTGTGTCAATGGTGTACCTGACAAAATAAAACTCTTAAATACTTAATACATACATGCGATTAAAAATTTTATATATAAGAATTCTGATAATTTCTGCGTTATACATCTTCATTTATATATTTATATAATGATAGAGTATGATATGTACCACGTGGACATGGTGGTCGCGGAGGTAAATCTACTCCAACTCCAATTACTTCGTATTCCTCTCCGGATCCTTCTCCAGATACAGATACAGATACACGTGGATGAGGATCGATTGTAAGAGATTGATTTAATAGGTCGGCGACTGCCTCTTCAACAGGCCGTTTTACTGGTTCTTTATACACTGTAATATAATTATATAAATGTAATATATATTGTACACATACACACACATACATGTGTGTGTATGTATATGTACATATTTATATATGGATATAAGCGTTTTTAAAAGCATATATTATATATAATATTGCGTCATAAATAACATATGCTTTTAAATATGCTTGCATCTACAGCAAATTATAATGCAGTGATTTTAGTAAAACATAAATCTATCCACTTACACCAAATATCTGCGAGTTTACTGAAAGCCTCCATTGTTGTTTCATAAGGACGATTATGTAAGTTTTTCACAAACTTCCATACATAATCTGAAGTATTTTCTTGAAACAGATCCAACTCGGCAAAGGATCGCTTTAACACAGTCTCTACTTCATCCAAAACAAGATACAAGTTCTTATCCGAGCGTGATTTTACGAATTTAATAAATCCCTTCAGTGAATTAACAAAACTTTCAGCGTTACAAAGCTGAAAGAAGGCAACATAGGTGGTACCATCCCTCTGCATAAAGATAAGTTGTTGTCCACCATGATTCACTCGAAAAGACTTTAAATCGGAGAAATATATTTTAACAGTTCTCGTACGAGAGTCTGGACCTTCTGAGTTTGTACGAGTTCTTCTCGTATGTGTGTCCACAAGAGACCATTCTGGATCTTGATCTTGACATTCCGACACGACAGAATCTTCTATAGGCTTCCATTCTATACACTTGCCAAAACTCTGCAACGATATAAAAATAAATGAGCTTTATAGGATCTATTTGTATATATAAATAATATTAATCGCAATAAGAAATAAGTCTTACATATTCCACAATGTTGAGTGTTCCTGAACTATGAACTTCATCCTCTCTTGCATTTGCTCCACGAAGTACAACGCCTGTGTGGATGCACAGATCCTAATACCAACAAAAGAACATAAATAACGTTCATGTAAAGTGAAAATTTGAAAAAGAGAATTGTAATAATTGCATATCTATCGGAGCACCTACGTGATATGCACTATAATTTAACGTAATGATTGACAATTACTGTACATGATAACGAATGCATACCATAATACTGTTTATAAACAGATTACAAAATGTCAAGGACAAAATTATATTGTCAATTCCATGAAGAATATGAATCACCTGCGCTGCCACGTGACATTTTTTCATAAGATTCTCGCGAGATTCATGCTCGACGAAAAAAACGGACGAGTCACTCGAAATTTATTCGCGGAATGCTAGAAGGAAATCTAACCTCTTCACGGACCGAAAAACGAGACAATAGAACGTTCTTCGATTAAATCGGCGAATGCGTTTACGCGATTAATCGAATGCCATTGTCCCGACATTTCCGCGATTATTCCGTGATGATTGAATTTCGCGTGGAACACACGATAAGATACATGTGGGCGGATGCATTCCGAGAACGTCATCTCGTCTGCAATCACGACAGCGTGATCGAGTTTCTTCTGACCGGCGCATCGTCCTTCGGCAGGACCTCGCCCAACCAGGACTATATCCGGAAAAAGGTCCCGCTCACCTTCCCCTGTTCCGTGGGCTCGAACATCTCGGGCTTCACGAAATCAATCGTCCTCGTCGAAGTCAACTCACTGCACTCGCTCTCATCGCAACTATCCCACATCGCGACTCTACCTCTGTCTCTGTCCTTCCTCTCGTGACGATTCCCTGTTTCGCTCGCACACAAACCGCGCGATATCCCTCTTTACTGCGCGCCTTTAATCTGCCAAGCGTTGCTCTTCACGAATTAAAGTGGCAAGGACGTACGCAAAAATCAAAGAAAATACACGAAAAAAATTCAAATTCTTCACTTTTCAAGATGAGTTTGTATTCGAATGGCTTATTGTACGTACATACAAAAAGTGTGTTGGTCTTTTTTATATTATTAGAAGTGCCTATAATTTAAACTAAAAACAAAACCTACGCAGCATGCATATAAAGAAGATATCTCGAAGATATCTTATTGCCTAAAGATATTTTCGGGATATCTTCTGAATATATTTTTAAGTTACATGCCTATTAGGAACGAAGCTATACGTTTTTAATGAAAAAAATTGAAGAAAATTATTTAATATTTGTCATTTGTATTCGTCATTTGTATTTATAAAAAATTCTAGACATAAAAAGGGATTCATCGTAGATCAAAACGATTTTATAATTATTTTATTCGTTAATTAAAAAAAGTTTTTTTTTCAATAATAAATAGAAACTTTAGACAAATATATTAACATATCCACGTTTGTAAAATAAGTATATATAATTCTATATATTTTTAATTATGTGTAAAATGTTTTATCATTCTTAGCTATCTGATCAAAGTGGGCTTAAAATTCGAGCGCGTCTACTATTTTATAATAATGCTTACTATCGCTAAGTATCGTATCGTATATGATAAAAATTTTATCATGTTTTCTATTTTCGGGAATATTTTGTTTCATATACTTATAACAAATAAAAACGCTATGACTAATGAGAGATATTGCGCAGAGAGATTTTCGCAATTTAATTGCACAATTATATGTGTATACATACACAAAGATAATTTTTTTTTAAATGCTTCCATTATTGCAGGCAACCAGCTATACATGCGTGTAGTGCGGGATGTTGCATTTTACAATCAAGAAATATCGTTATCTCATGATTGGAATAACAATTTTATCTTTCAGACACGATAGTTGCATTCCATTTACATCAAAACTTAGATAAATCTCACTTCTGTCTTTTTTTAAGATGGATGTTGAAGAAAGACAGAAGTGAGGTTCATATGAGTTTTGATGTAAATGGAAAGCAACTCTATTGTATTCGTTCTCTTATGCATACACTTACATATTTCGCATATATTTGTTTATTTCAAAAGGTGATTCAAAAGCGAGATTACTCGAATTTCTATTATATTAATAAAACCGACATAAAACGACGTAGTTGTAAACACTATAAAATCTATGCAATTTTTAATAATATAAAATATGTAGAATATTTTTTCTTTCAATGCACATAACTTATTTTTATTTTTCTATATACTTTTGTCTGTTTTTTTTCAGTTATTATGCAAATAAAATGCGTTTTATTTGTTGTCACATAATTTTGCATGTCTTTCTAAACGTTCATCAATAAAAAAGATATTAAATTATCATAGATGATATATGTATAATAAGCATGCCATGTCGTTTTTTTTTTTCTTTTTTTTACAAGATGCGTCTCTTCTCCGCAATTTACGCAATACACGTGCCAATTATTTATTTCTCAAAAAACTCTTTGCTTCTTGAAAACTTTGCTCACTTATTTTAATAACGCAATGGAATATTACAATGGAAGTAATAACTTTTTTTTATTTGATACAACAAAGTTCGACAGCATATATTATAAAATATATGCGACTTTGATAAACAACATTACTAATACAATATAATGAGATTCTTATTGGAATTTTTTCACTGTAAAAATTATATTGTAATTGAAAAGTAATATTTTGAAGAGGCTGACCAATGTACGCGTAACCCTTTTCTCACAATTTGAATGCAGTTTTGAGTACACTTCAACCAAACGATTGCTGACCTACCACTCGTTACCTCGTTGAGATACGTATAATCTTCATCTCTGATAAATATATTAAATCCACCGATATAACGAATGTGTAAACAACATGTGAGTGAATGATTAGAAGATAGGTACTGGTACCTGAAAAAAATGCAATTATTTCTCGCGTGTATATGCAGTAACATTATGTTATAGCGAATTTTAAAGTTTGCTCATATTTCTCATATTTTCCCAACGAAACTACACATAATCCTTTCTTCTCGTAAATAACATTTAAATGAATAAAATAAAATTGTATTATTTTATAGGCTCACTTAGAACTCAATTTATTTACAATATACATATACATATGTATGCAAATAAGATTTTTTAATCTCACTGCACGGGTACAAGGAAGCTGTATCTATCGGCATCTATATTTTTCACTAGAAACAAAGTTTATTGTCGTTTACATAATTGTCAATTGTAATATGTAAAATTGAGAATTGCAATCTATATATTTGAACGAGAGAGAAGGAAAAGGAAGACTGTGCCGAGGCCACGTCCCAGCCCTTTGTACATCTACTGGGAACAGAATAAAGAGCGCATATACTCTCTTTTCACGGTCCAAGTGTTACGGCGAGTGCAGTTGCACCGAGCGGGTGCAACGTAGCTGAGTCACGGCCTTGTCGGGACATGACGATTATTGGTCGACGAGGCATTTCTACAGGTACAGATCTCTGTATCCAGGATGAGAGTTCAAGATTAAATATTACGTAGCGGAACGGTGATCCTTGTACCTTTGCTAGAGAACTAAGCAAAGTTCATGTTTCATCGAAAACATCTATAAAATGGAAATGTGTTCGATCGTAATATGAGATCAAATAAGCCAGTAATTTGCAAAATCCACTTTCAAACTTCACAAATCAGATTCATCTTATTCTCATACATGAGAATTGAATCATCCAATTATATTAAAACAGATTGGAAAGCGAGATTATTGCGATGAAGAAAAATCGATAGAGTGAAATTGTAGAAATATCTCTTCACACAATACGACTGTGAGTCTTGAAGCGTTACACGTCTTAAAATATCTTCAAGTGGTTTCAGCTATCGAGATATGATTAATAATTCATAATGAATTAATAACGTCTCAGAACTGTGTATCGCGCAACCTTCGAGAGATACATAATTATAATTAGCACACGTTTTCCACGATAAAAACATTGACGAAAGTTAGATTACTCATTCTTCCGATCGGCAATGGCTCGCTGGACAATCGGCAATTTGCGTGGCCGAGAATGGTGAGAAGAGGGACAAAGAAAGAACGAATAAGAAATAAGAATCGTGTGCGTTCGCCGATGCGCGCGGTTAACGATACGATGAGAAAACCGCGGCGATGCATGATGCATCTCCTCTCTTCTCTAGGCGTTCATAAACTTCTCATTCCCCGGGAGCGCGCAGCAGCGGCTCGTAATTCGAAGTCAAACGGGGAAGCCCGATGGAAGGACGACGGGGAAGAGGGCATTTAAATAGAGTTGGCGAGAAGAGGGAAGCGTGCGGCGAGAGGATCGAGAGAGAAAAGTGGGCTGCGCGTTTTCTTGGTATAAAGGCGTTGCTACTTTGAGCCGCAAATTGAAACCTTCGCTCTCGCGCTGCGGGTTGTTCGATTAGGAAGTAATTATGGGGATATCACGTTCCCGGGGGAACGAGTAATTTTCTTGGCCGACTATACGAACGGCCCCGAAAGAATTTGCATTCGAAATGCATGACTGAGCTTCGCGTTGTACGATGTCGTGGCAAAAGTACCGGGTAGAAAATAAACGATCGATTCAGAATTAAATACTTCATTCAATTGCAATTTTATCAAGTCAACATCGAATTCATTATACATCCTGCACACTTTATTCTTCAATAATATTTTATATTTGTTCTCTGAATTAACAGAACGAAACGTTTGCAATATTCAAGTAGTTTCTCCTCTTTCCTTTTCATTATCGCCACTTGTCAACAATTAACAGTCCCGAGACATGCAAGAAAAGAGCATCAAGTAGGAGTTAACGAACAAAGGATTATCGCGGTTCTTCTCTAATTTCGCTGCATTTGACACATTACGGTTGCACTTTGCGCTTATTGAAACAATTTATTCTCTAATTAAATATCAGACGAAACTTTACGGTGCGCGACAATCTTGTAACTTGCAGCATTTTGTGAATGAATCACGCCAAGTATGCACGCCACCTGCGGCACTTTATGCATTAGAGCATTAGACAAAGGTCTTCCAAATATCTCATGTTCTTGAGAGGCGCAAACTTTTTAAGAAAGATATAAGGAATAAAAATATAATTAAACAATTTTTTTCAATTTGAAAATATCTTAATATTAGAAAATTACATATTCATAATTAAAACCATGTAGTATATTATTTTTAAGAGTTTAATTTGTAAATTGATAAAATTGACATAATTTCTACATACGATGTGTCTTTGTAAAAATTTGCCATAAATTTGTTTGATTTTACATTACATGACACATTTATATGTATATTTTTAGACAGAGTGCGTGATATAGTGTAGATCTTATATTTAAATGATCATTTTTGTTGACAATTTCTAATAATAAACGGTTGTAAGCAAACGATTTTATTATGCAAAACTTGGTGTGCGAACGTATCTGTAATTACACGATAGCGTCTCTGTTTTGTAACACCTACACAAATGCCTTGCTCATTTCGTACACGCGAATCGATGGATTTGAATCGTTCATTTAGTAATCATATAAAGCCATATCTCTGCGTCACGTGACTTATTCTGCGAACAAAGACAGGATCGACGGATGTGCGGCGCGATTTCTAGATCGAGGTCATTAGTCATGGATAATTAATATAAAATTATCATTGCTTCGTGCATGTGCACTTAACATATGAATTACTATTGACAATGGTGCGAAGAACGCAAGTGACAAAAGAGTACGTGATAGAAAAAAGATCAATGTTGAACTTCGATCCTTCGTTTGTGATCTTTCGATCGTTTGGCGATTAGTTCAGATTAGATTAGTTATTCTATGATCACTTATGCTTTAAATAAGAGATGATGAGACATTTCCAAGACATTATGAAATTATTTATCGTATGTATTCTTACCCACCATTATTTCATAGTTCGAAATTGATTATTTATCGTTGCTTTTTAACAAGTTGTTCCTTAACGTACATTAGAATTTTAAATGTTAGAACATGGTCTGGCATATTCACAGTATTATCATAACATAGCAATATCTGCATTGGATATCTTGGCACGTACGTCTGTCATCCCGTCATCCCGTGTATCAAGAAACACCTGAGGCTTTTAACACGTGCCCGGACATGCTCGCAGACAGATCGTGTCCGATGGCTTTATTGACTCGAAAGAGTCCTTGAACTAATATCTCTTCAAGTAAAATAAATTGTCTTTATCTGAAAATTTTCCAACGAGCAAAATCTACAATCTTCTGATAACAAATATAAATCAATTCAAGTAGCGGTGCTTCTTTATCTGGCAATATATGTACGCGTCTCATTTCATTTCTATTATCTTTTCTTGTCAAGCAAAAATTTTGAGCAGAGAGTGATACAAATTTTATTATTTTATAAATAAAAATGGTACAAGTCTCATATTGAATTAATCCAATTTGTGTCAAATTTTTAAAAACTTGAAACAAAGTGAGAAATCTAAATAATACCAATCTCTTTGTGAAAATCTAGCATTGTTTTTTTTTTATCAGTTCATTAATGCAGCTTTCATTTCGCATAAAATAGCAATTTTTTCTCTCGAACAGGAACCCTAACAGCACACATATCCCGAAGACGTTCAGAGAACATCCTGAGGATGTTCGAATGTCCTCTGGATATCCTCTGAATATCTTTTGAATATGTTGCGCTCTTAGGGAAATTGTTTGTGAGGATTTGTTGCTCAATTCATAAAACGCTACTTTAAAACTACGTATTTCATTACCTTTTATTGATTGGTACCAATATGTACTGATGAAAACTCGAAGATTAAGAATGACGGAAGCAGAAAAACATTATTCTTAATAATGCAAATAGGTGTAAAGTTCGCTGAAAAGAACGGAGAAAAAACCGTGACAATAAAAATTAAATATTCAACGTCAAGATTAAATATTCAAATGTCAAGAAATATTGAATATAAAAAAAAATATCAACGTGTCAAGATAATGTAGATTGAAGAAAAAATTAATAAGTACTTATATTAAATGGTATTCTCTCTTATGTTTTTTCCTGTCAATATATTCTTTCTTATTAGTTGTTGAAAATATAATCAATAGTTTTTAAATTAAATGTTTATTTTTACATTGGCAAAAATAAAAAATATATCAAAGTTCTAGATTTTCTCTTTCTTCTTAAAGTTTTTGAAGAAACGCGTAGATGGGTTTTATCTTTATAAAATTATCTAGACAATTTTCGAGCCATATGACAGGAAATCTCGAAATTGATACAGAAATTCGTAGAATGAATGAAAGTAGGAAAATCTACGTATGTGTGTGATATAAATTCTAGATGTATTACGTTAAAATACATTTCTCTCATTGCAATCATTGTTTAACTGCCTACGACTGGCTGTTTAACTGCCTTTTATAGTATTCGTCAGACTGCACATAGAGAAATAAAGGAGCCTCAATTATTATTAACGAAGTACATCTACTCCTACGTGTATTCCAACACGGATATAATAAACATCACAATATGTAATCGACCACGACGTACGTGGCGAAACGACAGACTTGCGTCAGAGTGCCAAACCCAAAGTTCGATCCTCGTTCGCGAGTGCAAGTGTCCACGGAACCAGGATTTCCGCCCTGTGCTTGGCATCCCTCTCTCTTGAACGAACTGAATCCTCTCGACGTTGTAGATACCAGGCAAATAGCCTTTGGTACCAACCTCGGTGCGGATGTACTCGCCTTGGTGCAACCGCACTCGGTGAGTATCACCAACGGGTTCAGTGCTAGAGTATCGACCCGGAGTGGCTCAGTTCTCTCCTTTCTCCTTCGTTCTTTCTCTTCCCCTCACTTGCCCGAGGAATTATATTCTCCCACTCCTATTTTCTATCATCGTTCCACCCGCTCGCTCTTCGTCATGCTCTCCTAGAGTACTAACGATGATTCTGTAAGGTCGACATTCGCGTAAACGTGGATAGAAATTCCGCCAGTACGGCACAACCTCGCTTTGTCGTGCATGCGCGTGAATCAAGGTTGTACAATGAGAAAACGGCGCCCCGTGTAATCTTTAAAGAGCCGAGAAATTTCTTCTGCATATATATTACATTGAATGAATATAAATTCATATTAACCCATTTTATTTCTATTATTTGAATCATAAAATGCCGAGCACACCTCTTTTTGTCATTTAAAACCAAATAATATTTTATAGCAAAGTCTAAAATTGATCAATTATTTATATTTTAACTAATAATTTGGCGACATGAAATTTATTTTATTTTTTACAAAGAAAATGATTATGAGCAATCAGTGGAAAATGATAAGTCCTTGTGTGTGTCATTATCCTGAATCATCACGGTCACCAGGAAGCGAACAACAGGAAACGTTTCTTTAAAATCACGTTCTTCTTTCTTGGTAACGGAATTTCGTAAAGACAAAAACAATGACGTGTGTATAATTATATCGCGATTAATATATGTAATGTAATGTCGAAATTAGCATTTACTATTCATGGGTTCGTAATTAAGCACACAACAAAGCTTAATCTTTGAGATACACATATACGAAATTCTCTCAATTCCTTTAAAATTAAATGATTAGATATACTTGGTGAGATACCTAGTCATGATGACTAAATTAATTGCATGCACGATGCATTTTCACCGTCTAAAGTCCAATATTTATCGCGAATGTATTAACACAAGAACGAAGATTATATTTGATTTAACACTGTGGCGACGATAAGTAAAACGCAAAAATCTGTCAGCTGCAAACAAACTGCAAGCGAGAAGCATTAATTATATAAAATGGAAAGGTGTAGAAGTTTTTTTTAATAATATATAAAAAACAAAATATTTGTAAATTACGTTACATATATTAGCTTAAATCAAGAGAGGCTTTTTTACAAATTTAATATATATAATTACGCAAAATTCATTTATGTTTTTCCTTTGTTTATGAAATGCGTAGCTTCGTTACCATTTTTTAATGAATCCATGAAATTAATTTTTTATTAGGATAAAGATAACATAAATAACACAGTTTAGAAACGAATAAATGTTCCTGTTTACACGCCTAACAGTCAACGATAAACAAATAAAGAATCAGAACAGCCAGGGCACCGTTGCCGTTCCTGGACCTCACCACTCTCGAGCTCGGCTCATTTCGTCGTCAGAGTGGAGGTGCATAGCTCGACAGCTGATCACACTGGTGCGTTGTCGGGGATCGGCACTCTCCCTCGCCTCAGTCGTAGTATATGTCGCGGATCTGCTCCGTGCGTTCGGTCAGATCGGTCCGGAAATCATCTGATGCGTGCACGCGTCAGCGATCGATCGTCCCTGGAACGGCACTTAAAGCGACTCCGGGACGAATGCAGTTTATAGTCGATAGTGATATATCAGTAACTAGACGAAGAAGGTCGATACGTGGAGTGGAATCGCGATACCGTGACGTATCCTTGGTTTAGTGCGCGAAGACTAATGCCATTTACTTCGTGATCAACTTCGTACCTGGGACACAGCTCCGTTTTTATAGCTTGACAGATTAAAGGGTTTGACAGATCGAAGATGCGGAGTGTCATCGCCGTGGTATGAATTCGGACGTCGCGACCCACGTAGCTGAGCCCACTTTCGTCCGAGGGTGAGTTGTCCTTTTAAAATCAACGCGCGTTATAAAGTGAACATGTAAGCTTTTGGTGCCGTCATTAACGCTTTGTGACTATGCGTCACGGACACTCATGGATACTCTACGAAACTACCTCTCATCTACTTGCGCCTCATTGTTCAATAATTAATTATGGAGAAGGAATTAACTAATTCTCGGAACACCCTTTTAATTCACTGATCGATGCATCGTTAATTAGATCAGCGCAAAATGATATGTATACATAACGCGCCACGAAATTGAATCTCATCTATGTATGTATATCTATAGTGATAAAGGTACTGATCATAGGAGTGCATCCGGTCATCGGCACATATATCACCCTTTCGTGCTTTTATCAAAAGATATTTTTTTCGGAAACATAAATTCTGATTATTTTTTCTATTTCTCTAATGCGAGGCTTTAACAAATTGGTAAATAGCTAGATGAAGATCTATGGTTCATAACTGTGGGTGGCTTGCATATGCATTATTGTTGAAACGACTAATATTGCGTGATTGTACAGACTATTTCTACACGATTCGAATCGAATGCAATTACTTTGGACGTCTTTTATTTCCGCGATATTATTTGCAGCACACGGAAGAATCTTCGATAGCGATGCATTACGTACTAACTATTTTACGTTATTTTTATAACTGCAATTATTACGAGTTTATGGCATCTCACTTTAAATAGTCTATTATTAGAGGGCATTTAAACGTGACGGTTTATTTTAATAAAATTTTGAACAGACGCTTCGAAACTTCCGTTTTCCTTCACATGGGCATTAGAATATTCTAATGCCTTTCAGAAATAGAATCAAGATGCTGCTTACTTAATAGACCCCTTAACCAGCGGTAACCTGACAAACGTATTACGATGAAAGCACAGTGTCGTGCACATGTCGTGTATACATATATATATGCGACATCGCAATTTAACGAGGAGAATTTGTGCATATCAAACTGAATGATCGCATTTCTATTCCGAGAATTATTGTCCATTGTCGGACAATGCTCGTGTTTTACTTTTTAATCATCTCTTTGCATGCTCTTCGCTATTATAAAAATAAATTCTGTTTAATTAAGTATTTTATTAAACACAGAATTGAACTGTAGTACATATCTACCGAAATTTATCTTGAATTATATTATAAAGAGTTTTAATTAAAGACAGCTATGTATGTGGATAGAGTAACTTCTAAATATTACTTAATTAATTCTAAAAATTCTGCGAATAAAAGATTGTGAATTCATTCTGTCAATTTATTCTTTCGCATCAAAATAATAGGATGCGAATAATTATTATTGTCTTTTATTCACAATTTGAATTAAAATTTTATTAATTCGAGTGTTGCCAGTACTAGCTCACGATTATATTTATCATTGGCATTCATAGAAAAATGAGTTTTATGTGTCTAATTAAACGTAATTTATTAAGAAATCATCTGAACTCTATCTCAGCATTCAGAATTAAAGGAAAATCACTTTCTTGTATACAAATATTTAAGAGTGCTTTCGTAGCTTATCGGATTTGCAGAATTGACGTCTCTGTGAGCAAAGCGTTTAATTAACCAGAGCTCGAAATGACCAAGGGCTATCTTGCCTTCGGCCTGATCAAGACGTTTAGCTGTTCAAACAAAGAAGATCGCCTAGAAACGGGAGAGGCGATTCTAGGACATTCGGGACAATAATGTGGACCGAGATATCATCTCGATCTTCTCGTGCCTATAATTGAGAATTGACGTAGCGATCGCAACGACAATGAAACATCTATTCTGTGAAATATGTACTTGCATCTTGTGTGTGTAATATGCAATTGCATGAATCACGAACACGCTTACATACATCGTGATTCCTGACACGTGTACGTTCTATAAAAACAGCCCGTCGTGGCTAGTTCTCGATAGCTGCAAATTGATCTCTTCGATGTTCGAGATTCTGAGCGGGCGAAAGACGCCCGGGAGTGGCACGTCAATGGGAAATTCTGTGTACATAAAAGATATGCCCTGAATTATATAGAACATGGTGTTGAATTAACCTCTTTTAGGTTCTCTATATTTAGATTCGATGCTACTCCTCTCATCCCGTTTTCTAATTAACAAAGAACTAATTATATTTTATTTCTATACCGTCATTATATCATTTACACTTTTAAGTATTTATTTGTTTTCTTCCTTTTTTATATGTGAGAAGTTTGTCTTTATTTTTCTTTTGTTTGATCGACAAATATTACTCGTTAATTTATATATAGATAATTATTTGTTCTTATCAAGAAGATCAAAATTTAATATAAAAGTTATCTTGAACAAGAAAAGAGTGTCGCAAATATATTAATAATCAATAATAGGATTACATATGTCGATCTTCTGAAAAGAAATGTAATCAAGAAATTATATGTTTACAAAATATTATAATGATATAAGTGATAATAGTTACATTTTCTCGTGCATTCATTAATTGTTTTGTCATACGTATTTACGAATTATTTTTGTTTAACTGCAGTATGGTGCATGTGGATTGCATTAATTCGACTATTACGTCTATTACGTATATGTCAATCACGTTAGGTGAATTCATAGACATGAAAAAGACGGCAGTCTTTTTTTGATGAAACGTCATATTCTTCTCTCCAGCTGAAAGAGACGATTATTCAAAGTTTGCTTGATTTGCACATGTTTAGTGCATCTACACCCGGAAAGCTCGTATACTTGATTGCGTATCTTTTTGCTGATTAGTATGATAATTTATATGAAGAACGTAGTGGATAAATCGTAAATCTAGCTATTTTTATTTGAAAAAACAGCTGTTAATGATATCGTGTATCATCACGATAAGATATTTTTTCGCTTACTAATTCCGCAAGAACATTAACAACGGGAACGCATTGTTTTACGCATTTTATTGATGTTAGATTTGCACGCAAAAAATATTACTTATACAATGTGTGGCAATAATTATCGTTTAATTTATTGTATGATAATAAGATGAACAAACGAAGAAAAATGTCACTCTTTCGATAAAAGTATGAAACGATTCTAGAATCGTAAAACGCCCCAACAATTCTGAACCATTACTTTAAGTGCACAAAAGGTCTTAATGGAATTCCAAGTATTGTATGTTATTTAAGTACTCTCAACGGAATGTAGCTTTGACAGTTTAGTCGTAATTCGCATTTTTTAAGTATCGTCTTTTAAAATAAAAACTGAATGAAAAAAATTATTTATTATTTAACTTTGATGAAACGTTATTTTAACATATATAAATATTTATTGTCTTCAGCACGACTGGATGATGGCTGATCTGAAGAACCTTACCCTCAGCGCTAGTGGAGCATCCAGATACAGTGGCGATGAGCAGGTGCAATTTATTCCAGGTGGAAGTAATCAGGTGACAATCAGGTCACCCCCTCCTTCCTTACATCTGGAAAATCTCAACAATGCGGTCCAATGCGGGTAAGAATATATAATAATTCGCTATAATTTTTTTATTTTTTATGTTCTGTTTGAAATCGAAAAATACAAGGTAAACGTCAATCAACAAAAAAATTATTAATAGAATAGAAATAACTTGTATATAGCAAAAAAAAACAATGTATATAAAATGTAATAAATAAGAAAATGCATGTGCAGCCAACTTAAGCATTTAATAAAGTATCAATAAATCAATGCTAGGCCACTTTTAGTTTATTGCGTAAATTAAACCGGTTCAATTAATAATCCATAGTTGAAAATGTGCTACAACTTTTATGCGAAAATATATAGTAAATGTAAAAATAAAGCCAAAAAGAGTGAAAGACATATCACACACAATTATATAACACTTTTTTTACAGTTATATAAGAGAAAAAGAGTAGCAAAAAAATTTGACAGCATAATCTTATTATGCGCTAAGTAAGACTTACTTATACAAAGTATTTTTGACTTAAAAAAACGACATAAATTTCGACAGATTCGACAAATAAAAACGATGAAAAATAGTAAAGTATGATATTCTATTTATATTACTTTATTTACACTAATTTTTTATATAGCTATGAATTAAAATTATTAAATAAATATAAAATCTGTATGTAAGTTAATTAAAAATGGATAACAAATATAAAAATACATAAAGGAAAATTAATATTGTTAGTAGATATTATAATACTTATAGAAAGCAAATCTCTAGATTACCTCGAACTCTACTACGCAACCTTCGATTGTAGCCTTATGAAATGAGAATATAATTTCTTTCTTTGTTCTGGAGGTTTAAAATATAAATTACTATCTACCGATTAGCATATCATGACATGCACTTGCAATATTAATTTATATTACGATTACTATTGTTGTAATATTGTATAGTTATGAATAGTATATATATTAGCTATCATTTTTAATTCTAAATTTAAATTCATATTTTTTTTTAAATTGAGGATAATTATGTCAGATTTATGTCATATATAAAATATATGTATGTATGTCTCAAAAAACGAATTTATTAGGAAGCTTAAATATATACAATATTTATTGCTAATTAATAAATAATTATTTTTTCTATTATTTAATTATTTCAAGAACAGATACAACAAATCACAAATTTGATAAAAATTTAATTCCCATAAAATTAATGTTGCTTGCTACTTTGAACTGATTTTTGCATTGTAATCTTAAATTAATGTCAAATTATATAGTCTCTCTCAATTGAATATAAGATAGAATTTGATCGTACATTATGTAATATGCGAATAAACATGTAAGACGGGAAAACATGAATAAGATGAGAAAAAGAGAGAATATATAGGGATCCATTAATATAATATTCCTAAGCAAATAAAGCCTTACTATAAATACTAAAATTTAAAAGAAATTTCTCAAGGTCCTAGTTTTGATCGTATCTTTCTCAAGATTTCTTAAGCTAGATTTAATTTAATTTAGTGCTGCTAAAAATAGCATTCAATTTGTTCCTTAAACAGAACAAAGTTTTATTATAAAATTGCGTTACTCATAATATTAATGTATAAGTTATTTTTAAATTGTTTTATACAGGAAATGTGTTATACAAAAAAAATTGTTATTGCAAAAACTAATACATAAATCTGACATAATGGATTTAGAAGAAAAAAATCGCTGAAAAAGAAAACAATTTTTATTTTTATATGCCAGAATAATCGACAAAAAATTATTTCGTTTTATAAAGATGATCATATTAAGTTTTTTTTATTAATCATTAATAGTAATAGTTTTAGGATATTCAAGAATATTCGATATTGGAAGACTATACTGCTTGGAATGACAATCGATACTAATTGTCTCAGGGTTCATATAGACGATCACGGTCAAGGTTTTTGACCTCCTCGTGGAAGCTTCGATTAAGCATTCCCCGAACTTGGAAATACCGCGACTATATGAGTCTTGTGTGCTGCATAAGACTTGTATTTGCATTATAAATGATTAAAATTTATTATAATATTGCAAATTAAAATTTCTCGAGAAAGCACTAAAAAAGTATCGCGACATACAGTCGGTTGTTTTGTCTTTTTTCTATGACTCATTGTCAGCGCTAAGTACAGCCATAAACGCACTGAACAAAAACGCGTCTCCTTTGTGACTCTTTTGAATCAGTCGAGTGAATGAAGAGATTGTGCATACATGCTACTGCGTGTATACTGTATGCTTTCACTATATTACCGTATATAAAAATTATACGAGCTTTATATATATATATATATATATATATCAAAACAATATTTAAAAAAAATATATAAACTCTTAATTATAAGATCTATTTGTAACATTATATTTTTTAATAAAAAAATAAAATAATATTTGTAATGTTTTTATTTTTTTGAATTAAAAATATAATATTATCTGTAAAATATATCATTTTTATTTAAAAACTATAAAAATATTACAAATATGTATATTCTCTATGAGGAAATATTTTTTTTATTGAGATAACTAGACGAAATTTAATATTTTATGCATTTTGAATATATTTAATTGCACAATAAAATATCCACACAATAAAAATATAATTTAACATTTTAATTTTTTACACTTTGTGCTATTGTTTTAATGTCATACATAAAAAATTGATAGAAAGCGAGAAAGATAACCTTATCGGATAAAACTTCGTAGAGGACAAGGTGTTATAAAACTTAGTAACTACGTATATACAGAGAAATACTTATAGAATCAATAGATGGCCAACACGCGATATTTCTATTATCTGACATATTTCTATTTTATTGTGCAAGAAAATGACGTATTAACAATTTAATCAAATTATCTATATTCAACTGACAATGAATCTTCATCGCGTTACAAGTTACAAAACATGTGCCTTTAAACATTGTGTTGAAATGTGTGTGTATAGTAAATTTTTTTTATGTTCCTAACAAAATATAAAAAATAATAAATCGATAAAATTACAAAATTTATTATCGAAATTAAAAGAAATAAATATTGTAGGCCAACTAAACGAGCAAAATTACATAAGATATAAAGATTTATTAATAATTAAATTCTCATTCCATTAGAGAAACAATATACATTTTAAGTTTAGTTGGCCTACAATATTTATTTCTTTTAATTTCGTTAATTTATACGAGCTTTTCATCAATTAATTTTAAAATTTATTATTATTAAATTTATTAATTATCAAATGCATTTTCTAAGACTATTTATCTTGTAAAAAATCTTTCAAGATGAATTTAAAAGCAATATTTTTTATATGATAAAGATGTACATATGTAACAGAATTCTATTTCTATATATTGATATTTATATTCAATATCTCTCCCAAACTAAATCATCAAAATGATTTTAAATATATTTATTTATAACTCTTTATTAAAACAAAAGTATAAATTTATATGCCAATAATGTCTTGTAGAAATTTTTTTCTACTTTCCCTTAATTACTAAATTTTTGTAAGGAATCTTGCATCTAATTATCCAATCAGAGACGAATAAATGAGCTGTTTTCTGAAAAATCGTGGAGCATAAGTCATTCGGCGATATTTGCAAGGAGATATTAATATTTTCATCGCATTTTCTTCGAGATTTACCTATTTGAAGTTTAATTATCGCTTTTATCACTTTCTTCTATTTCCAAGCACGATAGCTCGATGATAGGTTGATGATCGCAATAAAAATAATCATAGGTCTGGCAATGAAACGGATAATAAGAAAATGCGAAAAAGTTCTTCCGATGTGCACGATCCTATAATTTTTGCAAAAAAATCAAACTACTATCGCGAATCTAATACAGAGATAAAATACTTGACAGAAGTATTTATGTTCTCTTGACAGTAGCGTTTCTATCATGTTTATAGCTACTGTAATTACGAACGTGGTTGTGCAAATTCTTAGAAACAGTTAATATGGTGTATGTTTTTGTTTCTCTTTAATGTTAGAAAATAATAAGCTTTCACATGGGTAGAACCGCAATGGAAAATCTACATTTACGACGGGAAACGATGCGTATGCAAAATCGTAATCACGATGATATACACGTACAAATATAAAAAAGAAGAATTTTGATACTGAATTTTGCTAATAATTTTTTATATGGATATTTGCCACATATTTATATGTTGGATCTCCTATGGTATTATATTATTTTTGTCAATGCATTTACAAGTCAATAAAAGCTAGAAAATATACTAGTTAAAATTTAGTCTAATATACAATATAGTATCATGTTTCAAGTATATATTAATTCATAATAATTTTTTATATCAAATCTGAAGATAATTATATAAGTATTAAATATTCAGTGCCTTATTTTAGTACATTTATATTCACCGTTTAAATAGTATTTACATATCAAAAAGCAATTTATCTCATTGCTGAACACCACAGAATAATTAATAGAACCGGTATCATATGTCCCATGCAAAATAAATGCAACCTACGTTAAAATATTAAAGTGAATGAGCAATTAATATGCATCGCTTCTTCAACATTGAGCGTATTATTTCGTTCTCAAATTAATTACGATTTTGCGAAATATTCCGCAAAAACAAATCCAAAATTTCGTTAATTTTGAATAAATCAATATTCATTCTTAACCTTGTCGCTTTAATATACGCCACACGTACATCTGTATATAGCATGGCTATAGGGTCGCGCGTTAGTTATTTAATATTAATGTGTACGAGTTATGTTTTCCAAAGCAAACAATAAAGTAATGTAACGCGTCGCACAATGGTCATATACATGTTTCAATGTGTCCTATTTTTTGCGAGAATACAATAGAAAAAGTTTAGCGAATTTTTCCACGATTTACAATATATACGATATATACAAAAGCATTCTAAATTTATGTAATATTATTAAAGATGATAGATGCAGCTGTATTCGATTAATGATCGGCAAAACATTACAGGGGCTCGCAGAACAATCTCCACTGCAGTTGCAACGGAGCCACGTCGAACGGGGCTGCAGCTGCGGTATGCACCGGCGGTGTTCTGGCCAGGAAAGTGCCGAACCACAGCGGCGCCAGTCCCGGGCAGGGCAACAAAAGGCCGGCGGTGTCGTTGACGCATCTCCCGAAGAGGCCGCCGGTCGACATCGAGTTCAAGAACCTGGCCTACAGCGTATCCGAAGGCAGAAAGAGGGGTGAGTTTCGGAAAGAAAGTAACAATTATATATGTTTAATTCCCGGAAAAAGTCAATTTTTGTTTTTTTCGCGCACAGTGCACATTATTGAATCATCATTAAGGCGATAAAAAAATTAAATTAAACGAAAGTTGAAAAGCAGAACGAGAATCCCCGTACACTTTTTTTGGTTTTAAGGAAACAGTCGTTTATATTTTGAAATAATACCTATATCGGCATGATGCATTTTCGAGTTTGCATTATTTCGCGGAGCAATAAAAATTCGCTAGATAATTCAAAATGACGCAGAGTGATCGGATTTTGAAATGGGAAATCGAATATGCGATAAGCTATGTGGTAGGCTTTTCGTCTATCAACGTATGTGAACGACCTGACCGAAAAAATCGATAGAAATGCACGAACAGATTCCCGTTTCGCTGCAGATGCATCGTCCTTAGTGCAAGTGCACTAGCGATAAAGAGGTCAGCCAGAGGTTTTATCTGTTCGGATATATAATTCCCTGAATACTTTCTCTATACAATGGTGTGGAAAATATCACAGTTTTGGCAAGATTTTTAACAAAAATTTTGGCAATCAACGATGCCAAAATTGAAAAAGTTTCATAATAGACCTTTTTTATTCTAACATGCTGCAATTTATTTCTACATACGTTAGATATACGCAGATAGTATTGTTTTTAATCGTGAACTCTGATAGCACATTTGAGATATTTTTTTCCTAAGCGCACAACATAATGATACACTTGAAAAGATTTAATCTCTGAATTTTCTATATTAAAAAAAAAAATATATATATATATATTATGAAATCTCTAGCAATATAATCCGCATTGCGAATAAAATTTTTAAATATAGAACACATCTATATTACTCGCTTTTTCTTCATTATTTATCAATTTTATTACAGGATACAAAACTATTTTGAAATGTGTAAACGGAAAATTCAGATCTGGAGAATTAACGGCCATTATGGGACCGTCTGGTGCTGGAAAAAGCACGCTTATGAACGTTTTAGCAGGTTACAAGTAAGTAAAGATAGAGAATTAACAATAGTGAAATTGGATGTGATCCAAATTGCATGTTTGTAAATTTCCATCGTATTTCCCTTGAAATTTTTGACGACATTTTAATCATTTTTAATAACGTTCTCAGAACATCTCATTTAAATGGCTCAGTGCTGATAAACGGAAAGGATAGGAATCTCAGAAGATTTCGAAAGATGTCGTGCTATATTATGCAGGATGATCAACTTATGCCGCATTTGACCGTTTACGAGGCAATGATCGTTTCAGCAAACTTGAAATTAGGGAAAGATATTAGCGCGGCCTCCAAAAAAGTTGTGGTACGATAAATGGAAATTTTTCTTTTATCCGCGTCTTTGAAAAACATAAAATTAAACTAAAAATTCAAAACTTTGATTATTAAAATTTATTTAAAATCGAATGCAGATTGAAGAAATTATCGAGACACTTGGCCTACGCGAAGCCAGCAATACGCAAACCCACAGTCTCAGCGGAGGACAAAGGAAGAGACTATCGATAGCGCTGGAGCTTGTTAACAATCCCCCGGTTATGTTTTTCGACGAGCCAACTTCCGGCTTAGATAGTTCCTCCTGTTTCCAATGTCTCAGTTTGCTCAAATCTCTAAGTAGGGGAGGTAATGTTTCCGAGATTTTATTTTATTTCTTCGAACGTCTCGCGTTTATAACATAACATTACTATATATGTATGCTGAAATCTTTTACAGGAAGAACGATCATATGTACGATTCATCAACCAAGTGCGCGACTGTTCGAGATGTTCGATCACTTGTACCTGCTTGCCGAAGGCCAATGTATATATCAGGGTAACGTTGGTGGCCTAGTGCCCTTCTTGTCATCGATGGGTCTCGATTGTCCAAGTTATCACAATCCAGCGGATTACGGCAAGTATTCGGTGGATTTCAATTATCCTTTGATCCGAATTTCAATTGTCGTTTCTATATGTATACATGTATGTAAAAAACTATGCGCTCATAAATTAATTCTACAGGAATAAAATTAATTTTAAATTTTAAATAAAAATATTTCAATAATTCATAAAATATATCTATCGTTAAAATTTCAAGATTGTTTTACAAAGTTGTCCGTTGTTAAAATTACTTCTATCGCGATAATACGATATGCTAATAAAATTTCTTCGGTGCAGTGATGGAAGTCGCTTGCGGAGAGCACGGAGAGTGCGTTCACAAGCTCGTGATGGCTGTGAACAATGGCAAATGCAATAATTATCAGCATCATGCAGCCATCTCGGCGGCGCAGACAGTTTCGAACGACATTGCCAAGGAATCGCCACAAGAGCAAACAAAATCGGAAGGCGCCACACTGATACCGAATGGTGTGGCCAAGCCGCCAACTGGCACAGCGGTGATAAATATGCCGGTTTCTTGCACAACGTCACTGCTAGATAGCGCGGAAAGTATAGAACAAAAGGTTGGCTTCCCGACGAATGGTTGGGTGCAATTTTGGATACTGCTTAAGAGGACTTTCCTATCGCAAATGCGAGACATGGTAAGTACGATATACTATTGTATTTGAAAAGTACGATATATTATTGCATTTGAAGTAATAATGATGCAATTTTTTAAAGATATTTTAAAATATTTTATTTTTATCGTCTGTTATTTTCATTCTATTTTTTAACAGACGCTAACAAGAGTAAGATTGATTTCGCATATAATCGTCGGCTCTTTAATCGGAGCAATTTATTACGACATCGGCAACGAAGCCTCCGAAGTAATGAGTAACGCCGGGTGCGTCTTTTTTACGGTGATGTTTTTAATGTTCACCGCGATGATGCCTACTATATTAACATGTGAGTAATTTTTAAGTCATTCTGCGAGATTTTTAAGTCATACCGTGAAGTCGTTGTATCATTATTTTATTATTTTTATCATAGTTCCGATGGAAATGTCCGTATTCGTGCGAGAACACTTGAATTATTGGTACTCAGTGAAAGCATTTTACTTTGCGAGAACGCTGGCGGACTTGCCGTTTCAAGTGAGTATATAATTTACGCCTTCCAATTAAGGTCAAATGCATCGCGACTCATATACAATATTAAATTGTTACAGATGGTATATTCTATAGCCTATGTGATGATTGTATACTTTCTCACATCGCAACCATTGGAAGCGGAGCGTTTTCTTATGTATTTAAATATATGTATACTGACATCGTTAGTCGCACAATCTCTCGGTCTGCTGATAGGAGCAGCAATGAGTGTGGAGGTAAAATCGATAAAATATACATATATACAAAAAGAGTCTTATTATCAGAAAACGCATACATACAAAATTAATTTTTTCTATTTCTCCGTTACTTTTTTCGTAATTTTTATTTTAATTAAATATATCTGTTTTAATCTCTTTTGCAGACCGGAGTGTTTATCGGACCCGTGATGTCGGTCCCAATCATTCTGTTCTCCGGCTTCTTCATCAATTTCAACGCTATTCCAAAATATTTGAAAGTTCTCTCGTACGTGAGTTACGTGAGATACAGTTTCGAGGGTACCATGATCTCCGTGTATGGTTACAATCGGGCAAAGCTCAAGTGTTCCGAGTACTACTGCCACTTTAAGAGTCCGACAAAGTTCCTCGAACAGATGTCCATGGAGAACGCGGTCTACTGGGTGGACGTTGTTGCCCTAGTCGGCTTCCTGCTCGGTATCAGAGTGATCGTTTACTTCGTGCTGAGACTCAAGCTGCGATCTCTGCGTTAAATTCTCTAATAGTCCAGGACAGACAATAATCGCGACGCTATGTCGTTGCGCGACTGTGACTTGGATATCAACGAAAATCACATTTTTTTTAAACGTGTAAGACGAAAAGAGAAAAGAGACGATCGCACGCAAAGGACAATTCGATCTTGAGATCGAAGAATGGAAGAATGCAATTGTCGCATTGATAAGCGATGAAGATCGTATGAAAGGAATATTGATGAAGAGAATATACATGCTTCGAATAGAGATATGAGGGAACAAAGGTAAATTGTCTTTGATTAAATCAATAACGTTTGACATATGAACTTTATATGTAATTTAAGTCGTTAGATATTGCAGATACTATAATTTTATGTCTGCCTTTATTAAAGCATAATATTTTTATCGAATCCATCGATGATATGTGTATAGAGTATTAATGCTTCTGGAGGATGTTTTATTATTATTAATCGTAATAATTATGGCTTATCGTACCAAATCGAATCTGATCTCTGCCGTTGGCAAACGAAAATAATTTTATTTTGTTTTAGTCCATGTAAAAAATAGTTACCGCGACCAAAACTCGAATCTGGTTAAAGACGGATCACAATCTTAGCTTGTCTATATAGATAGACGTTTAAATAAATAGTAACAGACAGGAGTTAGACTATGTTCAATCGTGTATTAACAACGGTAGGTCGATCTGCGACGTCAAACACATCGGCTTTCCGGTATTGAATTAAAATCGCGAACGCGTTTATAGCCAATTACTACGAACTCGCCAGGAGCCTTAGGCCCATTTAAGACTCGTGTCCCTCCAACGAGCGCGTTTAAACGCGAACATGACAAAATAGAAGTTTCTATAGATAGGCAGAGTAGAAGACACGGATCGTTAAAACGAGTCTTTTATGATATTCCCATGTTAATTATACATCCATGTAAATTATACATACAGTTTGCTATACTTATTTCGATCGATTATCGCGAAGATAAATAAATTGCGTACTTAGGATCGTAATAATGTCCTCGGACAAACGAATAGAGGAATATTGTGAAAATCATATATAAAAGCACACCTGTTCGCGAGTAACGTTTTCGTACTAACGATAGAAAGCGCTTATTCGATATGTCTCACATAATCATACACTCGATCTTTCTTCATATCGTAATTTCATCAAGAGTTTACCTAATAGCTTATATGGTAATAGCTAATTGTAAGGAAAGAAGGGAAAAACGGAAAAAGGAGAAAAAATGTTTATTGTAAAAAGCTCACACTTGACCAATCACTAGCTGCCTGAGCGTTGCTTCTAAGTGCGAGTGCTAAATTATTGTTACACATACTATATATAGTATATGACTTGGGAGGATATTGTGTATGTATAGTTGTATAAAATGAGAAAAGAAAGGTAGGTAATATTCTGTGTTCTACGTTAATGTAATTAATTCGTACTTATGTTTTATAATATAATTCTTTTCTATGGCCTATGTGCATCTTCACATTCTGCAGATTTATTTACCGGGCAACTGACGAGAAAACCCAGTGATTAAAATGATATTTTATTAATAGATATTTTCAATTTCATTTATACACGATCAAGATTTGTTGCAAATGTTATTAATATTAATTAGCGCGACCATAATATCGACAAAAAGTTATAAACCTACAAGAAGCAATTTATTATTTGTGGTTTCGTGGACAATATAAATATAATTTTATTTATAAGAGATTTAGTTAAATATTTTTTTTTCTTATGCTATACATATAATAGAGAAATAGGTGTAAATCTAAACAATGAAAATATCTCAGTTTATATCCGTATCAATGAGTAACTGATAATGATAAAATAACAAGGCAATAGAATTTATCACGTAAAAATTATTTTATATGTCACATTTATTTCGTAGAAATAATTTCTTACATTACATCAATCTTATTTACTTATTATTATTCTTACAATATTTTCTTTAATTTTATATGATATTCATTGATAATGAATGTTTCCTTAGCTAAATAATAATTACATTTGTCGTTACTCATAAGTGTGATAGAAATCAGTATTTATACTTTGATATTATTTTTATTTTATTATATCATTACATTATTATTACAGATTATTTTTCTAAGCCAATTGTATATCAGTAATATAAAAACTTGCGATTAGTTAAATTCTTAATGAGACATTGATTACATCGATTTTTAATCGAGATAATTTTGAATCGATTGTGCGATATCATCAATACATTATCTTATCTATGTACGATTTTTTCATGCCATATAAGAGTACAATGAAATTAGAACAATTTTAGGTGCTGTTGTAATAATTATTACATTAAGTTTTTCAAGGAATCTACATAATTGCAATATGCAATTTAATAATTTTTATTTCTACTATTATGTTATGTTTAATTTAAAACTTATTAATCCTAGTAAATATACATATTTCTGGAAGTATTCTCTCTAAATTTTTTTATAAATATATAACTATACCATAAAATATATTTAAAGGCGTTAAAATGTAAAATCAAATATCATGTGTGCAAATGTTTCTCATGTCATGTCATATAATAATAAAAAGAGAAGAAGATCAATTAAAGAGATGTATGTATTAAAACTTACGGGACAATAAATAAATTTTATATTTTAAAACTATATATATATTTTATGGTTAATTATCGTTATGTTATATACTTATTATGCATTTAAAATCAATGATACAATTTTTGTTCAGAGAGAGGATAATTTCAGAATACGACATATTACTTCAATTATATATTAATATATATTTCTTTGTATTATATTATATTTTTCATTATTTTATATTATAAAATTTAATTATATGATTTTAAATTTAAATAGATAAATCAATGGATTATATATGTATGTATAAATAACTATACCAAGAGTGTATTTTTAATTAACTTTTTGTGTTATTATATATAAAATATCAGAGAGTGACTTGTCATTAACTAAACGAGAAAGCAGATTATATGATTGTGACATTCACAAAAAATGGTTGTCTGCCGCGACTGAAAATTCATATCGAGACGGAGATATTCGTAAGTGTTTAATCCCAATGATAGTTTTATACGCGTGATACCTGATTGATCGTTAATAATAATGCAGATCATAACATGCTATTATTCAAAGTTATCGCGGAAAAAGTATGCTTCTTCATATATAGTAATATTTGTAAATTTTTTTTCACGAACTTGCACTCATATTGAAATCTCAATGTGCGCAATATTCTGACGTACAGATTATATTATTTTTTTAGCGATTAATCTCAATTACACTCATCGATCGTGCTATAATTTCGCGCTTGTCAGAATCCAAGATTCGTGTCAATGCTGCGCAAATCGCACTCGAGAGATCATCAAGCGAGAATGAAGATTTAAAGAATCGTCGAATCGATTAATTATTCGAATCGTATCGCGAATACGTGCGCACTGTGTTCAAGCTTCGTGTTCGAGCGTTATAATCGGTGCAAATTTTTTATTATAACGATCTCGCTCGTTATGAAGCGCAAAATACGTGTGTGTGTGTGTATGCGCAGCATAGAAGCATCCATTCAGAATTTGTCTCTTCTAGCATTATACACGTATACACGTACGCACACACACTCTTACATATATACACATACATACGCACATGTCAATGTATAATGTGTACAATCAGATCATAACACATCGCATACCAAATATCGCAATCTTTTTCAAGTACTGTAATTTTATATGATGGAAAGAATGTAAAAGAATGTGTGATTGAGCGTATTGAATGTACAGAGAGATTAGGCCTGTAGTGAAAACTTTTTTTTCGAGACGACGAAAATTATACGAAGCTGTTTCGCGCGTGATGATGAAGAAAAAGAACCTCGCCGACCCTTGATGAACTGACGCTAATGTATTTCGTATCTTGCGATTTTAGCAAGAGACGTCACGTTTATACTAAAGCACAAATGAATAAACAATTGTATCAATAGATGAACCATCTTCTTTGTCTAAGGAAGCCATCAAGGTACTTAACATACTAGCGTTACAATTTTTTTACTGACAAAAATTTACTCCGATTTGACAGATAAGTTTGCACGAAGATTTTCCGGTTATTACGTAATATTTCGCATAATATATTTATAATGTAATTTATTGAATTATACAGTTTGAATCTCACATAATATATCGAAATTTCACATACACTGCACGATCAATGATAAAACATACAGATCAATTTTATTTTAAGCATGCTTCCGACGCGGAACGATGACTACTAGATTGTCAACCTTGAATAAATTTGAATAATTTTAAATAACTTTGAATACAATTTATCTTTCTTTTTAGAAACAGATTTTTTTAAAATAAATTTCCTATAATTCTTCAAATACAAAATTACAAAGTTTCTCGAAGTCGTCTACGCAGGCGTCTCTCACCAGATACCCTTAGTTGGCCACTCGCTCTTGGAACATTATCAAGATGTTATTTGATCCGCATGTGGTCTAAATTGGTAGCGACCAACGTTCAGTACAGCATTGCGAGTATTGCAACACGTTGTACAAGAGCTGTTCTACGTCGTGCGATTGCACAGTGACGGATCTAAGGATCGGTAGAGCATGGAGAAACCAATAGTTCGAGCGAGAGTGGTGAAGGTCCTTGGCAGGACGGGGTCTCAAGGACAATGTACGCAGGTCAAAGTGGAATTTTTGAACGAGCAAAATAGACAGCTCATCAGAAACGTCAAAGGTCCTGTGCGCGAAGGAGATATTCTAACACTTCTGGAATCTGAACGTGAAGCTAGAAGACTTCGTTAAGGATGGAAGAGAAGGAATAATTTATCGCATACCTTTATAAGTGGACAGTTGGCGGAATTTCGGAAAAGCTGTGCTAAAATTAAATCTGGATATGGCAGCGCAACAAGTATACACGATGTCGAAGAAGGAAAAGCGTTCGCACATGTGTGATTTCTGCATTATTATTTTCTACTTTAAAATAAATGTATCAAGCATATCCCTCCACTTATGTTTATATGAGAAGTGAATTATATTCTCTGGCTATTTTTTATCATGTTAATAAATCAGTTAATGATATGTATGTATGCCTTATATTCCACACACATGCATTATAATCTTAAATATGTTTAGTAAACATATTTTTTCAGAAAGTTTGTAAAAAGAATTAAAAATAACTGTTGAGTTAACACATTTGTTATTTTTCGAAATAGGTGATTAAATTTAAACAATTCTGATGCGTCTCATTCTGTTCGTAAAATGGAAATATTCAGGAATCTTCGAGCAAGTTTGATATGAAAAGGCCAATATTTAAATATTTTAAATATGCAAAAAGTATTCATATAAAAACTTTGCAACTATTTTATCATATTTTATCATCATTATAAAAGAATTAATTTTTTGTCAACAGCTGGTACAAGACTCGCCGTCAGTTCTTCTTTAATCATCATCAGCAGTTAGTAATTGCACCGATAATAGATAAAAATTATCAGCTGTACACATTATTGATCATGATTTTCTCTCTCAAATTACAATTAGAGATAGTTGTAAATTTTATTAATTTAAACAATATTGATCGTCGCATGTACGCTCTTTGTGTATAAAATTTTAATCAAATTAATTCTAAATAATATAAACAAGATTATTATATATTTATATATAATATAATAATAGGTTTAAAGAACTGTGTTATATATAATAGAATAATATCTTATAAACGCACATATACCATATATATTCATACACACATATACACACACACACACACACACACACATACATATTCTTTTAAACCTTGACAACTCTGATAACAGAGTTCAATTAAACGAAAAAACACATCTTGAAATCCATTGTGCTTGTTACACATATACCATGCTATCAAATTGGGGTTCGTCAGCTGACTCATGACTAGTTAAGCATCCGTCATGCGCACTTGCAGCCGCACGGAATGCTACGGGTCGGGAGAAGTGCGTGAGTAGCAGCATACACGCATTCTCTTCGCCTTTCGCGGCTGGTGGGGCCGAGAGAGGCAACGGGTGTCAAAGTTTGCGAGATGCCGAGGCTTTATCGGCGGCCAATCCGCTGCGCGAGATCTGCGCGAGAGAACGGGGATGTCGGGTCGATTAGAAGGCACCAAAGTCGCGTACAATCGATCGGCCAGCTTAGTGTAATGCCGCGGCGCGAATTGGTACGCGCGTGACCGTAGTCACGCTGCAAAGAGAAAGAGAGAGACAGATATCTCCGTTTCTTAGAAATACTCATTTGTTCACGGTGTGTAGGACCAACATTCGGCTAGAACCGGAACATCCGGGGTGCAACGCCAAAACTAGCAGAAGTGTGGGCGCGACTCGCTTGGGTAAATATTCTATATCCGCTATCTATATCCCACGTTTAACGTAAAGTTATGTATGCGTATTTTTATACAAAATATGAAATATATATATAAAATATATATTTGTATGTTTACAAAAATACACGTAGTAAAAATATTTTTTAATGGCAAGTAGCAAATGTTTACAATATTTATTTCATATATATTTATAAGTGTGCATTTATTTATTATTCGATATTTGGTACGATAGGCTTAATAGCTCGAAGTACATAGATGTATGTTTTCATACGAAAGCGCGTGCGAAAGCTGCATTGAAGCGCATCGCTCCGCGTGTGCTTCAGCTTTCATATCAGCTGCAACGGTATCTCTATACACATATATACATAGCTCTATCATTAATCGGAGTGCATTGCACGCATCTGCTGCGAGGAATAGTCGATTAGAAATTTTTTTCTTTAATTTTACGATAAATTGTTGCGTATTATGTTTTCATATCGATTGTTTATTGAAATATATGCGATATATTTTCTTACAATAATTTTGCCTGCAATTTTTTGCAATTATAGCTAAAAGAATTTTAATAAATAACTGAATTTGAGAATTCAGTGATTTATTAATTTGTGAGTATTAATTTGAGAGAGAAAGAGAGAGAGAGAGAGAGAGAGAGAGAGAGAGAGAGCTCTGTTTGTTCATATTTTCTGCTTATTCATTAAAAAACTACGCAAGAAAAAGTTCTCTCGACAAGTAAAAAGTTCTAGACTCAGGAATAAAGGTAATTAAAATTTGTCTTTATAGCGATTCATTATACAAACGCATAAATTGAATGCATTTCTTATTACTAGGAATAATATTGTATATTATACATATATTATAAAAATTTATAATATTCTTCGGAGATAATGGCAAATAAATTCGCAGTGATATCTTAGAATTTAGAACTTAAATAATAACACGTAAATTTCGACAAACCGACTATCGATTATATTTTTGTATAATTTTGTATTCAAAGGATAGAGGCCGCAAAAAATTGAAAAGAAAAAATTATGAAATTATGCACACATGTGTATTGCCACGTATACGATTGAAATGGATAATGAATTGCAATCTGTTTCGTCATACATAATAACTATATTACGAATCCATCGTACTCCTTGCTATAAATGTAAACTAAATTACACGCAGTCTCATAATCGTACGCGAATGTCATTAGTGCAACGCTTTTATGATATTGAACATGAACTTCTATCAATTACATAATCAATCTTGATAAAAATCACTTTTATAATTAAAACATATATAGCGAGCGGTACAGAAAAATAGAGAATATCAGTAACTCGCAAGGAGATATAAATATAACTAATTTATATATTATAAATATAATTATATAAAATTATCTTTTTTTTATACATAACTTATCTCGCATTCAATTTATATTTGTATATCAAATTAATAAATCAACTTTACTTTCATCTACATAAAGTTATTCTGCTTTTTTGACATTTTTGTATGCAATTATTATCTCAAAATTTCTAAATAATCTTTTTTATTTAAGTATTATTTTATATATTTTTATGTAACATAAATTTTTATAACTTTTTCTGATTAATATTGAGATCGTTTTAAGGAATAAATTTACAAGATTAAAAAGGTTATAAATTAGTCATAATAGAATGAAAATAGAAGGCATATTTATGCAACTTCGACAAGTATGCGTAATTATCTGAAATAATTATATAGATAATATATTTATCTTGCATAATCTATTTTTTTCTACGATATTATTTTGTATCGCCTGCAATACAGCAATGCAAATAGAAAATAATTTATTTACATTAATGCAATTATGACATACGTACATTCTCACATTTTAGACGAATATCGATTTGGTCGCGTTTCTTTTCTAACAATGTTCTTGTAAATTTCAGACGTGCGTCAGCGTAAATCGATCGTTCGTGGAGTGACGTAACCATGGTGGAAGGCAGAAAAAATAACATGCAGAACGGATTGCTCAGTAATGGAGTTAACGGGTGAGTTCCTAACAAAATTACAGACTTTTGTTTTATATTCTGCAGTAATTTTCTGAATGTAGAATTTATGAGTTTGAAAGAAATAATAAGCATTCCCCTCAAGCGCCATTTCAGCAATGAGTCTCAAATTGTGTCAATAAGAATATTAATGTATCAGTTGATATAAAAAAATGAAATTGATATAACGGACGATTTTTTTACGAAAAAAATCTGCAATACTCAATTTTCTAGTCTGCGACAATAATGCAATGTGCTCGCTTAAAATGTTACATTTAGGACACACAACATTGTAATCATCGATCATTATTATTATAATGTTTAGCAGTTCAACCATTGTTATCAGAATACCCTTCTCAACATGCTTGATGATGTTTTCATGAACTTTATCTTTGCATTTATGACATTTGATAGTCTAATGTAAATGTCAATATACATAGAGCGTTTCTTAATAAATGCTCTGCCTTGGAATTATCATTTCCTGATAATAATTTCCCGATAATCATAATTAATTATAAAGTTAATTCAAAAGAGAATACTGAGATAATTTAAAAATGTATTATATTTTCAAAAAATATATTTAATAATGGAATAATATTATCTGAGGGATAAATATAGATATTAAATACATATATAGTTACAAACGCATTAGAATTATATAAAATTAACTACGGAATATTTTGAAAATAAATTATACAAATAATTAATATTGATATACTCTAAAATTTTACATCGAATAGCTGGTGAAAGTTTTCGCAATTTGCGCAAGTCAATAACATTGGCCAAAGAACCATTATTTTTCCATGATAAGGTCGATGCAAGACAGATAATTGCCGATAATTATTTATTCCGCCTGATAGTCACGACGACTGTAAAGTATCGGAATCTCAAGATACACGTACTTCGGAATTTGAACTTTGTCGCTGCAACATCTCTGGCAATTTATTCAGGACTTGAGCATTAGACCTTCGATTTCTACGAAATAGATCGCATATTTTATCGGATAAAAATTATCTAATAAGCAATTAAATTCATTTTTATCATAATAATTTTTTAAATGATTAAGTGATTATTTAAACGGATTTCAATAATCACTTCGTGCGTTCTGCAACAAATTGCTCAACTGGAACGTAACAAATTAGCACAATATCATTTTGTGGCCACTTCATCGAAGATGAGAAATATTATTCAATTTTCACAATATAAAAATATTGTAGCAAGTATGAAGAGATAACTCAATCGGAACGATTTCTCTAAGGAATTAAATTGATCTTTGATCCAAAATTTGCATTACGCGCTTTTCTTGAAGAACTCATTTCGAAAATTATCATAAAATTAACGTCCACGAAAGAAATTAATAGAATATACTGAGTTGGCTATTTAGAAAATTTTAGCACATGTATCACGAACGGAAAAAGTAGAACGATTAAGTATTGTTAATACTGAAGAACTTTGCACCTGCTCGGCATTTGATATGTATTTCGTTTTATTATCTCATTCGTACACATATTGATCTTCGAACGAGTAGGTATCAAGAGATATTATTTGAAGATTTCTATCATTGAGCAAAAACGACTTATTGATAGATTCATAAAACAAAAAGAACTTACAAACAGGAAAACGAAACGAATATTTATCACACGAATTAAATATTTCACTTACATAATAGATACAGAATTACACATACAGTTTTTCTTATCTCTTTCACAATTAGTTTTTCTCTCGCTGTGTGTTTAAGTAATAAATTTTTTATTAGCTCTTTCAGGGTTAAGACGCAACGGTTTTTTTTTATTGTTTTAACCACGGATCAGTGGTTTACAATGAAATAATATTTCTCACGCAACAGCAAAACTATAACTATTTGTATATATAATTTGTTTGATTGCGGTCAAAAAGTAATTCTTTTCGTATTTTTTCACACGCTATTATTATGCATCAGTTATTGCTTCTAAATCTTCTACCACAATGTTAAAGAATTTTTTAAATCTAATATACAAAAATAATTTTATCCTTTTTTTATATATTGTGTAAACCGGTTTGTGACGAGGTTAATGTGAATGGATATGGAATTTTCTTATTCCAAGATTCCAACGATTACAGCTCGGCTCGCAAATGTTAGAGACTATTTTTTATGGTGCTCATATGTGTGTGTATGTGTGCTGCATAATTTACGACTCTCTGCATAATTGCAATGACCTAGGGAGTGGGAACGCGCCCGTCAACATGTATAATAATTCGTCTCAACTTTGTTTTAAAATACGATTCCTATTTTTCTTTCTGTGCAAATTATCCGATTTCTTTATAATTCTTTGCGTTTATTATATAATCTCCGATTTCGGTAAGTTATTTAAAACAGCTGTAAATAAATTAACTTTATATATATGGGTATACTATATGTATACTTAACAGTCGAACGCTCTTTATTTTAAATTTATATTATCTCATATTACGAACAGTTTATCTTTAATCGTTCGCCAAAATATATACGCATTTGAACCTATATTGCGATTAATGCTATCACAATTTTTATTTAGTCATTTTTTTAAATTATGCTTTTTAATTAAAGGCTGTGATATCAAATGGGAGCAAAAAGTGTACCGATACACGGTCACATAAGTCGCCAGGGAAATTTCTACGTGTATTTCTGCGTCACACTGTTATCACTTATTGGAGATTTATTTAAATGGACTTTGCGCTTCTTATTGTGTAAGCGACGTTTACTTCGGCAGCTACTCATGGTAGATTACTCACGGAATAACTCTATCGATAGCACCCAGCCGTGGCTTGGCAAAATTTTAACTTATATGCTATTTAATCTTAGTTGTATGCCATTTTTTCACTAAAACTCTCAAAATATTTGGTCATTTCGTCAACACTTACAGAAATTTATGATCAACCTTTTAAAATAAAATTCTCGTCAAATTTGATAAATCAAGAGGAAGATAACGATATAAGTAAATGGTATTATAATTATTTTTTTTTACATTTGTCGATAAATGAGTCAATATATAATTCATTTATTCATAAAACTCATAAATATTTTTCTCGTTTTTTAAATGTTTAAAATTTTTTAACAAAGTAATTGCCGTTTCTTAACATTTAGTAATATTGTAATTTTTATTGTAGAATAATAATTAATTTTTTATTTTTCCTTATTATTCACTACTTCATTGGATTTGAATATTTTATGCAAATTATGACTTGAAATGATAAATACATGATACAGTTGATAATAGTCATGCGCACATACACACATACACACAAATTGCATCTCGTAATAAAATTATTATAAGGATATAATTTGAGATGAATAGTTTTAATTAAGTGCTAATATAATGTTTATATTCTTTCTAGTTAACATATTAGAAAAATATGTTTATCTCAACATTACTTATAAAGTGACATTCTTAAATAAGTTAAAAAGATTTCACTGAACTTTTAATAAATTTAAATAAATTTCTAACGATGCACTAGCACGTTTAATCATATATTTGTAATTGTAGTGCAAATTAATTGCACAGATGTTGTAATACATGTATCATCCCGTTATTTTATATCACATAAAATTGCTCGTTTTCTCTTCGCTTTTTGAAATTGTTATGCAATCTAACAGTTCTACACTGCTGGTTTTCAGGAAACACGGATAAAATCACACTTTGTCTATGTTTCAACTTTGTGATTATTCCATTTTCTTCGCGGATCTTGCAATCTTTCGTGCTTTTCCGCGTGTACAATTTTATCGTATAATTTCCAGGAAAAGACAGTCATTGGCAAAATGTCACGTTTGCGATAACATGTCTAGTATCTCCTATTATGACATACGAATTTATCGAAGAATAATGGTTGAAACAAAAATATTACTTTCTTTTTGTATATATTTTCTTTTTCCTTTTTATTTTATGTTTCGCCTACTAAATAATTTATTTTATTTTGTATAAACTAAAATAAAAATATATTATATTTTGTATGATTGCAATGACGCGCACAAAAGAAAAATATTTCATAATTCTTATTACGTTTAGTTACTATTAACATAAACGAAAGCAATTAAGATAAATTAATTACACGCGATAAGTGTTATATTATTTCGTCAGCATTTTCATGGTATTTATTTTAATTTGTAAAAACGTTTCGAATATCTTGACAAGGATAAAATATGACGTATGCCACAATATATTTTATATCAAAAATTATTTTATGTCGCATATATATAAATAAAGATGACAATAATATTAATAAACATTAATGAGCGGAGAGAACGTATGTAATATGTAAAACATATGCAAAATTTAAAATATGTCACAATGAAATATGTAATTTCTGAAATGCTATATATATAAATGTACATTTTGTATTTTATGCTTCATATTTTTAATACTTTAATGGCCAATCAAATATTTTTTTACGATGATTAAAAGCAAACACGTAGTAATCATGATGATTTGATAAAAAATTAATTATAATATAATTTTTTATTTGTCGTTTGCAGTTATTACACTTTATTTTGTATTATTTTCAATTTTTGATTGGCATAAAAGATTCAGTTTTTATTTTAATTTCATCGCAATGAATAATTTGTTTAGCCATTCACGATTTGCATTTAGAATATCTTAACATTTTGAAAAATGAGAAAGCCCAATCTGACGATTTAAAAAAAGCTAAATAGTAATAATAAAAGACTCATTATTCCTTTTATATTTAATATTCTGTACGAGTGCAACTATTATATATATAAAACGTGACAGGACGTGTTTTTAAATATATCGAAATTTCGATTTTGTAATGCCATAATCATAATGCGGCTTACTGTATTTGATTAAACACACAAAAAATATAAATTGCATTTAATGAAAGCATAAAACGCGTCTGTGGTGTAAAATACAATATAAATTTCACTGTCGATCGATTTATAACCAATGCCTAATCATCAGTCCTCAATTATCTTCTGATGATCTTTCGAACAGAATATTCATGAATAACTTCTCAATTAATAGTTATATAAAAATATTTTTTAAATTTTATATACATATATTATATAATTATAACTTTATCATTTAATAAGAAATGTGATTTTTAAAGAAACCTTATAAAAGAGAAGAGAAAATAATTTTTTGCGTTACAATTAAATTATTATGCGTTAAGAATCTCAACAATAATAATAATAATTGAAAAATATAAAAGAAATTAAGGAGATTGAAGAATATATTATATATTGAGAAATAATATTATATAATATGACTTTATAAATTTTATTTAAATATAGTGAATAAAATCTCATCTAGGTAAATTAATAGAGTATACTTTAGAGATTTCTTTTTAATTATTAGACTAATTATTCAACATGCCAATAATAATCATAATTGTTAATCTATTGTCAGCTTCAGATTTTTATTAAATCATTATTCACTTACGTCAATGTATTAAAAACGATCCTTTAATGGTACTAGTTCACATCTCTATTGCATTATGAATGAGTGTATGACGTGCAAACTAACTCACACCATATATAGCTGTGGAAAGTTCTCAAAAATGATGCGATTGCGCATAAAAAATTGTTTTATTACAATTTGTGAACAAAATAATTTCACCTTTTCAAACCCATTTGTAGATCTCGAACATGCAATAAAATGCATCTTCCGAAATGTCATTACATCGAATGTAAATTAGCATAGCATTTTCTTACTTCTTCCATGACAATAGCTATGTGATATGCTATCTGTGGTATAACTCAGCTAATTAGCATTCTGATAACAGCTTGAATTTTAAATGGCAATGTACTTTGGTCGAACTCTAGAAAAATTTTCCGACTCACATTGTGTTCTTGTTTTTTCTTTTATTGTTTCTGTATATCTTTAATCCGCAAATCATTATCTATCGGATAATTAACTTTACTCTTCAATATGTAATTTCAATGAAATATCAATGCATATGCTTTTATTCTATCAGCGATAAACCACATGACGTATCGCTCATAAAAATTCCGAAATATTTCAGATAGTCGACAGTGAAATCGAAAAGTGCAATGGATATAAATTATGCCTATACACACGACCTTTTAATTTTTTTCAAATAAAACAAACTACGGAATGAGAGGTATAATAAATTGAAAAGGCTGCATGATAAAATTTAGCAAATATCTCTAACATTATCAACGATAGTCATTCGTATTCTTCTCAATCATGGGAACTTTGATCTTCCGATAACGTTCTCGTGCATCGTGCATCGTGAATGCCTCCTTTCTTGATCGCAAAGCGGAAAAAACGAGAAGGAAGAGTGCGGAACAGGCAAGAAGAGGGAGCGAGACAAAAAGGGACACGGCGTTAGCGGTCAATGACGACGGCCGCGGCGCGGCTTTTAACTCACTCAGTTGGTCTCGAACCGTCATAGCGAGTGCAGCAAAGTGCGGAGAGGGAGGTGTTAGGCGGCTCTTTTGTCTCCCCCACCGGCAGTCCCTACCGCGGGCTTTGTTATCGGAGCATAATCCGGCACATCTAAAATCGCAACGCGTTGCGCGCTACTCGGGAGTGCGTCGCGACACGTGGAATCGTACGGATCGAGAACGCGGTGCTGTCATACATCGTCATCGGTGCGCGTTTCGGACCAGAGGTCGGGATGCGCTTCGTTGCATCTCAAGGCTAGTTTCGGGAAAGTTTCTCTCCGTTCAAACAAGTATCGCGTAAAGTTACTACGACAATGTAAGAATTAATCCGCGTTCAAATCTTTATCCTCTCTTTGCCCTACAATGAGATATTTCGGAAAGAAATATGCTGAAATTTCTAATTTTTCTTATATTTAAAGAAGTAGAATTTTTAAACAGTTCTTGTGAAAAGAATGACATTTCTTCAATAACTCACCATTCCTTTTTACTGCACTATGTACTATACTTTGTTATTGGAGCTTTTCATTGTGTGGAATAAATAATATTCGAATTCTGATGAAAAATATATATACAATATTTACATCAAAATCTTGGACAGGTTTTGAAAGAAGTTCACGTACGAATTTCATGTGCGGTAATAAACAGAACAACATTGATTGGAAGTTATTCGTACTGCCTTATAAAATGCTAACTTGCAAGTCAATACACTTATAATTTATATGCTTGCTTCCGCTTCCTATATATGCTAATTTTGAATTACATTGGAGTCTTATGACGTGTAACCTTTATGTGAAATGTTTGATGTGCTCAATGTTATATAGAATTACGTTTCTAATAATTTTATATAACATTTTAGCAATGTAAAGTGTTAATAAATGTCTACGTTTACGCAAATAAATCTCTTATCGTTAATAAAGATTAATGAACCCTATAAATCGTACATAATTATAACGATTGATAGTTTTATATGTTGTACGCGATTCACATATCGCGATGAATGAAATAATGCTGATATTGCAAACATATTTATATCTGACCGATGACGAAATGACATTCGTACGTGCTATAGAAATGTAACAATTTCTTCTTTTACTGTGCTTACGCGACTCTTTTCTTTATATTAAATATTTTTCGTAAATTTCCATTACGCATAGCATAAGATTGTCACGATCAATACAGCTGAGTCTTTGTTTGAAAATATTCGCGACAAGGAGATTTAAAGTAAGCTTATCTAAAAGTAAATACGAAAATAAATTTTTTACAAAATTTGAAAATATTTATAATAAATATATACGTATTTATATTATAAATGTACGAACTTGCTCCGAAAACAATTTATTCTTATATGTACATACACAACACACACATTAAGATTCTTTCTCTTCCTTAAGTAATATTTGAAATGTATTGAACGTTAGCATTACGTTTACATACATGAAATGTATAAAGCGAAGTGCATTGCATCCGGATAATATTGCAGGCAGTAATAAATATCAGTGGGGGAAATTATTTGTTTTCGTGTACAAACACAGTGACATTGATCTCGAAACGGAGCAGCAGATACGCGCTAATAAGATCGAGTGAAATCGGATTGATATTTAAGAGAGAAAGCAGAAATTAATTTCGTTGAAAGATGACGCTTGAGGGAAATTGCTCGACGGATGATGACACAAATCGAGTTTTATTCGAACCCAGGAAGAACTCGATTGTGCGGCTGCAGATTATGCCGGCGCAGCCGAAAACTATCACTCATCTGCCGAAAAGACCACCGGTCGATTTGGCGTTCACCGACCTCACATATAAGGTCCGAGAAGGTCGCAAAAACAGTGAGTACACACTTTCCTCTTAATATTGATATTTTAATTCGCAGCGAGTTGCAATGAGAACCATATATGGGTCTTTCAACCTGTTTATGGTTCCAATTAAAATACGCGTCTTCCGGTATTTTAGATTATTTACATTATTTACTTTTGATTTTAATTAACAAGAGTACGGCTTAAGATGATAATATTAAATATGTCATAAAAAGTGTCGTAAACATTTGCCGCACATATTTTTTCATCAGATATCTCAATTATATATTGTAGGGTGTTTTTATTTTTATACACTGTACATATATACTAAATTATATTTATTTAATTTTATATTTTCATATTTCAATCTAATAATACACAACAAGAAAAGTCACATAGTGTTATCATATGTCTCTCGATAAAATCTCGGTGAATTTTAGAATTTGAACCTTACTTTGTAAATAGTTACATCATTTTTTAATAAAGATGATACACGCATATGAACTCTGTTCTCATAACGCTGATGGTTATGCATAAAATGTTGATATTCGAAGAATCAAAGATGTTTGATGACATGGAAAATTAATTATGCATAATTTGTCAATTATTTATAATTCTTAGTTATGCACGCATAAAACATCAATTATTTAAATATTTATAGATATTATATTGAATTGCATAAAAATTTCAATTAATACAGCTAAACTGTTTTAATTTAAAAAAGGTTTTTTATCTTTATATTTCGATTTAAGATTATTTCTACTCTTGTAAATATACTAACATGTTTCAAGTTTGTGTTAATTAAAGATAGGTTTTGTATAATTAGATGAAGCAAAACATTTTAATAAAAAATATTCTATAATTGGTAAAAAATAAAAAAGAAGCTAACGATCAAAGCTATCATAATATTTAATATTTGTCTAGCCGATTAAGGATTAGCCATTGCACATTAAAATACTGATATGTGGTGTAGTGGATAAAGTAATAATCGTAAGGAAAAAAGTCGCGATAATCACAGAAATTGCATCGTAAATCATATGGTATACCAACATTCCGCCCTTGAACTGCATTCCACATGCGATATTATTCGAATTCAACATAACCAAGTCATTTTAAAAAGATTTTATATTCGTTTGAGTTCTCATACATGTTCCCATAATGATTTAATCAATATACGGAACTTATACGGAAGATCTGAATTTCCTATTAAATGCTTAAAAACACAGATGTATTTTCATATACATACGTCTTTTAAATATATGTGTACTTGAAAAAATTTTTTCCGTATGAATATATTATCATATGTTATCTACTTCCGTGTATTAAATTTGCTTACTATATCGGAAGAGTTTTGATGATACGTTTAAATATAAATTTAAAACACACATCAAAAGTTGCATGTATATTGTATACGGTAAATATAACAATAGTATGAATGATGAATATTTTCGTTATTTGGAAAGACAGAAAAATCTTGACAAATATCTAATGTTAAGTGCAATAATTCTTTTTACATTGCAATTTTTTCTATTTATATATTTCTATAAATATATTTCTATAAAATATATTTCTATAAAATATATTTCTATAAAATGCAAGATTTAAAAATTTTTGTTATGTTAAATTATACATCAAGTCTGATAAAATTATAATTTTATATCACATTTATATCACTAAGAATTTCCAATTGCAAACAGCAAGCATACATAGCAATAATAACTTACTGTTTGAGTCTAATTTACAATTAGAAATACTAATGGAAGTTTTAGCTTACATTTATTATCAATGTCGCTAATTGTAATTGACACAAATTTCTCCCAAATTAAATTATACTTTATTTTACTATTATTAATAACACATATATAAAAAGAATTCTACTATTGTTATATGATTACTCTATCAAAGATTGGCGACTACTAGTTCATACATTCTTTCTTTTTTTCTGTCTGAATTATTTCCGCATAACAGTTTTAAAAATAACTGTACATTTTGTCTTCAGATATCGAATAATAAACTACATTAGCAATTTAAAGTTTCTTCCCAACAAAACGGTGCATTAATTATTCTTTCTGTAGTAAGACAGCAATAAGATATTTGTCTTATCCCACAAATGAGATATTATTTATCTTATCCCATGAATGGGATATTATGTTCATGATATACATATGATTGTCTTTTAAATAGGAGAATAATTATTATTTATGATTCTTTTATATTTACATTGTGTACATGTGTACATTTTTCATATGCAAATCATACGCAGGTACTAATATATGGATTAGTCTACAATAGTCTACATTTAAACAAGGATTGTCAGAGTTGCGAACCATCTTACGTATTTGCGTGCTTAAGAATTTCGAATGGATTTTGTGCAGATTTCTTTCCTTATTTTTTAGCCTTCGCATTCGAAAACCTGCCGTTAACTACCGAACGTTTCGGTCGTTGTCGCGAACGATAAACGATTGCAAACTGGTTTTCGATGACATTGACCACCGAGTGAAAGTGCACGTTCACGTGCCAATTGCGTGAAAGAAATGCGTTTCCGTATGCGAGATTCTGCGGCTCCGTGACGCGGCACAATGACATGTAACGGATGCTTCGCGATCGCATTTCCGGAGTTCTTATCGAAATGTAGTGCGAACGATATCCGTGATAACGTGTAGTTTATAAGCGATGCAGGAAGTGATGGACGCGAATAATTCATCCGTGTTTTTTTTAAACAACAGCTTGTTTGAGAAATTTTTTAACGCATATAGGTATCTCTTTTCGAATAATTCAAGCGCGAAATAATACCACCTGTCATATATATCTGTCACGCACATTGCTTTCTCTCTCTCTTTCTCGTTTCCTAGACATCAGATCGATAATTTAATACTAAACACTAAGAAATCTCGTATCAACTGCATACGCTCTATGAAATCGATTTTCTATAACTGTCTTTGCATCGCAGTTACTATTTGTGATATATGACATTTTGACAGAGATATACATGCCATAAACTATGTATATTTCGATATTTATAGACATATGACGTATTTATCCATTGTCTCTATTTTTTCTTTTTATAGTGTGCACATAAAGATACATCCACAATACACAAATCATTTTTTGCAAATATTCTTAAATTATCATTACCTACATATATAAAAAATCAAATTATTATAGAATTAAATTGCGTATGTCGTTGGATTATTAAAATTATAAATATATTTTTTATATATTTACTTGTATTGGTATGTATAATTTGTGTATACCTGTGCGTGTAAAAAATCTGAATTAAAAGATCCGGTTTGGTAACGCATCACAATGGAAGTATTAATAACTGCAATTTTGCAAGAAGGTCAATTATGGCATAATATCTTAGACAAAATATGATAATTACATCGATGTGTAATCTTTGAGCTTACGAAGAAACACAGATTTGATTTAATGGCTTCGTGAACACGTCTAGTATATAATGCATTCGCGTGTGTATGTGTGTATAGTTCAAATTATTTAAAATATCTTAGAGAACAGATTTTTTTCAAGAAACATCACAACGGATTATATTTTTCATTATAAGCATTACACAATATATACCTACTTGACTCTCGACATGCAATCAACAGAAAAATATGTATATAAATAATATCTCGAGCGCTGTAAACTATTATCGAGGAGTCTTTGTTCCTTCTTATCGTAGCTTCTTTCCAAGCTTGAAAAAAAGTGAATTGTTTCACTTATAATAATTTATAATACGATAAAACTTTATTTCACCGGTATCGATATTGTTCGCGAATCGTCACGTTCCACTTCGGATACTCATTCAAGAAATAGCTATTGCAATGAATAATTACACGTTGATTAGAAAGATCGAAGACATTATTTTACGACCTGATAGAGAAAATATCTCAACGCTATATATAACAAATTAAAATTACACATTTATGTGATAAAAGTAAACCACATTTCAGTCGTGCGATACTTAGAATGTCGAAATTAAAATATTTTGTTTTTTTGCATAACGCGTTTCGCACTAACTTTATTGAAGAAATAAAAGATTAAATATGACACAACCTTGAGGCATTTAAACTCAAGATAGAGCTGACCACATAATCCGGGATTGTTGCGTTATTCTAATAATGCTACCTTGCAGATGAGCTTCCGTAATAAACTCATTTTGCTGCCAAGCATGGATGGAATTAAACACAAAATAACAACGTTTTTTTCTTTATTTCTTCACTAATACAAATGTAATTTAAATATTATATACGTATCTCACGGTTTTTAGATGAAGATTAATTGCTTGGTTAAATGTTTTTATCTGGCACAATAGATCAATAAAAAACATAATATAATATAATGCATAAACACATTACTAGAAGACTTTGCTCCCAGGCATAGACATTATTCATAAACGATAATTATTTTTGATGCCAGAATAAAGATATTGAGTGACATTTCAATGTATTAAATGATTCTTATCACGGAACAAACAGTCGTAGATATACATTTTTGGATGCGCACAGGAATGCTATAATGATCTTATCTTTTAAGATGTCTTATCTCGAAAATCACTGATGTGAATATTATATGAAATATTAATATTTCTTTAGTAGTTGACTAAGTTTTGTTTGACTTATCTACAAAAATGAGCGCAAGATATATATATATATATATATATATATATATATATATATATAATCGTGTGTCTTTGATAAATAAAATATTTGATTGTGATAAGCTTACTTATGCGTATAGTACTTGAGAGCTTTACGGACATGTTTGAAAAAAACATAATGATGTATCGCTGATAAATTGATACCGTTTGAAGAGTTTGAACAGATATCACGATACACGTGTTGCGTTTTAGTTTACATTTATCACGTTTTTGTGTTGCAAAACAAGTCGAAAGCCATAGCCATCGAATGTGTTTATCTCATCGGTTTAAAGTTTAAAGATTGAAATATATATACATTATCTATTTAGGGTAATAATATGACCTATATCTTCTTGTCGCCTGAACGACATTGCAAAATATGCAATAATGAAAT